TAAGGTGCCACAAGTACTCCTTTTCTTTTTTCATCCTGAGTGTCATGATTTTCCAGGCTCCTCTAGCGTAAAAACTACAATCTGTAGAAAGTAACCAAAAAAAAAAATAATAATTATCTAGTGAGAGTTTGGGGGGTTCTCCAAAGTTACGTTTTCTTAAGTAAAAATGGGGAGGGGGGGGGGACTAGGGATTTACATCATAGTTGTTGGTTTACATCACAGCTAGCAGACTGAGTCCATGGTTTAGTTGTTTTTAGGAGGGGGAGATCATGATTTATGTCCTGGCTGAGCACAGCTGCTGAATTGGCTGAACAGTTTCAGGATTACTGGGATGCTCTCTGGACTAGTAGTAGTTGTTGGCTTGTAGAGCTCCGTGAAGCTGTTTAGCAGGTTCATGAATGTGGCTCTTGAACCGGTTAAACAGTTTAATGGAAAACAGCATATTTGACAAAGCAGCAGCTGTCACAGCAGGAGTCTTATTCTTTGTGAAGTTGTTTCACCCAGCTCTGGAGCTCCCTCTCTTCATGAAAGCAACAGCCACTAAAGCTGAAGAGCCTGTTCTTCATCAGACTGTTCAGCCAGTTCAGGAATCAGTTTGCTGATCACTTTAGAGCTCAGTGCTGTGTGAAACTAGCCATTGGGAGGTTGGAGAGCCGTTCTTAAACTAAAAAAAAAAAAGTTCTGGGAAATGAATACAGAAAAACAAATTTTGTGTGAGTTAAGGTTGCTCTATACATAACATACTAACACAAAACCAAGGAAAACACATGACATGACAAATTTTACTCTTGAGCCCAGACTTGCACACCTCACCAGATAAAAGCCTTCCGGCACTGGCTTCCCTGAACATGAGCACATTTTCCAGAACTATATAGAACATAGAGTAGGGGGAAGGCTCAGGTCTGAAGTCTGGCTATTTATGGTGGTGAGATGACAATTTATTCTTGTTTTGCTATATTTTTAATGGAATTTTTCCTTTTTTAACGGAAGAATAAAGTTTTCTTTCGATTGTTGATTTCTTTTTATGTTTTCTCATTGTTTCAATATTGTACAGCCACAAAAACATATATAAAGTCTCAAAACAATTAAAGTGCAACATACATAACAATATATTTTAATATGGTGGTTTAATAACAGGATGAGAGCCGGGAAGCAACCAGCAGTCTCTCAAATAGTTATTTTACCAGAAATAAATGATTGCTTCTGTTAATTGCAGGAAGAGCAGGAGGAATTGAAACAGAGGGTAGGTGTGGAATGGAGGACTTCTGATAAGCACTGTAGTTGTTCTAGTGCTCTCTTTCTCCACCTCTTACCCCCACTCTCAAAAAAGGAGAGATAGAACATAGGAATTGTCATACTGGATCAGACCTGCGGTCCATCTAGTCCAGCATCTGGTCTCTCAGAGTGGCCAATATTAGGTGAGTCAGAGGAAGGTGTAATAACCACAGAGTAGACAGATGTGGGATAGGCCTCTCCCTGATCTCCCATAGTTAGAGATTGACCTAAACCCTGAAGCAGAGTTTAATATTCCTTCCAATTTTCTTATAATTAATTATAACTCCATATATTCTTTTATCCATATCCAAACCTGGTTTGAATTTTGGTAACTTCTTGTCCTCAACAACTTCCTGTGGGGGTGAGTTTCACAGTCTAATTACACATTGTGTGAAAAACTGTTTAATCGATTTTGAATTTCCCAACTTTTAATTTCACTGAACATCCCCTTGTTCCTGAAGTATGAGACAGGGAGATCAGTGATTCCAAATCTACTTCCTTTGTTAATTATTTTATATATTTTTGTCATGCTCCCTCTTATGCATGTCCTTTCTAAGGTAAAAAATCCCAATCTTTTTAATCTCTATATGAGAGTTGTACTATGCCCTTTATATCTTTTTTTGAGATGTGATACTCAGTATTCCAGGGGGAGGCCACACCATTGATTTGTATAAATGCATTATAACATTCTTTGTATTATTCCCATTCCTTATGCATTCTAACTTACTAGCTTTTTTTTACTGCAGCTGCACATTTAGCAGAAGTCTTTACTGTGCTGTCTACACTGATGCCTAGGGTCCCTTTCTTGAGCTTATAGGGTTCATTTAGAACCCTGTAAGGTGAGAGTAGTTTAATATTTTTCCTTCAATGTGCATTACTTGGCATTAATCAACACTGAGTTTAATTTGCCATTGTGTTCCCTGTTCACTTTCCTTCTTTAGGTTTCTCTGAAGTTCCTCACAGTCCTCTGTGGTCCTGACTAACCTGAATAACAGCTTGCATCCGATGAAGTGAGCTGTAGCTCACGAAAGCTTATGCTCAAATAAACTGGTTAGTCTCTACGGCGCCACAAGTACTCCTTTTCTTTTTGCGAATACAGACTAACATGGCTGCTACTCTGAAACCTGAATAACTTTGTGGTTTCTACAAATTTTGCTACTTCAGTACTCACCCCCCTTTTTAGATCATTAATAAATATATTAAACAAGACCTCGTATGGAACCTTGAGCTCCTGATGAACACTGACCACTTGATCATACTCTTTGCTTTCTGTCTCCTAGCCAGTTTTTGATCTATGACAATACTTTGCCTCTCACCCCATGACTGCTGACTTCTTTAGTAGCTTCTCGTCAAGGACCTGGTTAAAGGCCTTTTGGAAGTCTAAATAAATTATGTCAACTGATTCTCCTTTATCCACTACTTTATTGACATGTTCAAAGAATAGCGAGACACAATTTTCCATTTCTAGAACTGTACACAATCCAGTGAAGAGGTACTCAAAAGAGAAGAAAACAGGTAGGCCTCAATCCTACATTTATGCGTTTGCTTAACTTTACATAAGACTTTGCAAGATCTGTATTTTGTATGGTTTCAGAGTAACAGCCGTGTTAGTCTGTATTCGCAAAAAGAAAAGGAGTACTTGTGGCACCTTAGAGACTAACCAATTTATTTGAGCATGAGCTTTCGTGAGCTACAGCTCACTTCATCGGATGCATACCGTGGAAACTGCAGTAGACATTATATACACACAGACACCATGAAACAATACCCCCTCCCACCCCACTGTCCTGATGTTGCAAAAAGAAAAGGAGTACTTGTGGCACCTTAGAGACTAACCAATTTATTTGAGCTATTACCAGCAGGACAGTGGGGTGGGAGGAGGTATTGTTTCATGGTCTCTGTGTGTATATAATGTCTACTGCAGTTTCCACGGTATGCATCCAATGAAGTGAGCTGTAGCTCACGAAAGCTCATGCTCAAATAAATTGGTTAGTCTCTAAGGTGCCACAAGTACTCCTTTTCTTTTTGTATTTTGTATGTGTTTGTATAGTGCCAAACATTCCTGGGCCCAAATCCTGTTTGGAACCTCTGGACATAACCGTAATAAAAACAATTGATAATAAAATAAGACTTCTAAGCAATACAACTGTATTTTGTATAATAGCTTGCATGTAAACTATACCCATCAATGATTTACAGAGTTAAGTAACTCAGAGTTAAATACAGTAATACAAATAGTTACAAAGTTAAAATAGAAAATTAATAGCGGAGGAAGAGAAAAATTCAGAGTGATGGACAAAAGTAAAAAAGAGTTTTCATCTCCTATTTGAAAATAGATTGGAAAGGTGGTGATATGGAGAAAGCTGTTTCACATGGTTGCAAAGGAGAAAGCTTTAAGGCACAGACAAAAAGCTAAATAAGCAGAAAGAGATGCCTTCAGACTATGGCCTGATCCTGCAAACAGGTACATATTTAAGAGGAGACACTGACACTCTTCAGGAGGCATATAGGAATAATACATATCAACAACAATAGAGATCCACTTGGATAATTATCATCAATGATATACATTTAAGAATGGGAAATGCTCCCTCCTCAACGCCCCCCCCCCGGAAGTGTAATTTATTAAAGCAACCAACCCTAAGTAACCATCAAAATACATTGACAATTCACCAGTAAACATGGAGTTCAAGTGTGCACATTGGTGCAGCCTGAGGGTGTGAAATAGAGCTGGACAAAACTTTTTGATTATCCAGTAAATTAGTTGAAAAATGCAGTTTTGAACAACATTAGGAATTTTTTTTAAAAAAAGTAAAACTGGTTCCTTTTGACATTTTTGAAACAAACCAGTCTGATATTGTTAAATGAACCATTTCATTTAGCAATGTCGCTTCAGATCAACATTTTGTTTCAACATTTTGCTTCAAGCCTTACGGTTTTGTTTTGAAATATTGCTTCAGAAGGACATTCAAAAAGTTTCATTCAACCTGAATGAAACGTTTTCGGTTCTGCGTTTTGGCAACTGAAAAAAAAAAAATCTGTTTCACTTAGAAACTAACCGATTTTATTTATTTATTCAGATTGTTCACTTCAGCCCCCAAACCGAGAAATCAATTATTTACTGAGCCACGGTGGGGAAATCACACAGAGGAGAGACCCGGAGGTGTAGGCAGAAGGGGGGGGAGCCACCCAAAGCATCCAGGGGGTGGGGAGGTCACCCAGAGGGGCCCCGGGAGGGTCCAGCGCTAGGGGCAAGTGAGGAGGCCGAACGGAGGAGTCCCAGGGCAGCGACCCGAGAGGTGGGGAGACCAGGCCACGCAGAGTGGCCTCGGGGGGGCGGGTTGGGGGAGAGGTCAGGCCCGCCGGAGGGGCCCCGGGGGGCGGGTTGGCGGAGAGGTCAGGCCCGCCGGAGGGGCCCCGGGGGGCCAGGCCAGGCCCGGCTTGCTGGAGGGGCCCCGGTCAGCGCACACGGTTTCAGACGGCCCCAGCCAAGCGAGCAGCGGAAAAGCCCAGCCCTGGCTCGGGCAGCCGCTGCGCCGCGACCCATTGATCCTCCCGGCGTCTACTCGCGGGAGCCAACGAGCGAGGTCGAGCCTGCGCCCTGCGTGGGGCCTGGGAGGCGGGGAAGCAGCGGGGCCGGGCCTAGAGGCGAAGGCGGCGCCAGGACTGCGGGCGGGGCCGGTCTGAGGCGGGGCAGGGCCTGGGCGCTCAGGCAGCAGCCGCTGCAGGGGACCCAGGAAGAGGGGGTGAGGGCCGGGCCGGGCACGGAAGCGAGCAGAGCCGGGCAGCAGGAAGATGGCAGAGCCGGAGATTCAGCTGCTGCTAGGCGTGGGGCTGATTGGTAAGGACACCGCTGGGCCCTTTGCCCCTGGTGCATCCACCCCAGGGTAGCTCTCTGTGCTGGGGAGGGGCTGACGCCCCGCGCCCAGCCCCAGCCCCAGGCTCCAGCTCCCCTCTGCCCCTGGAATTGAGGGTGGGGCTCTTGTGGTGGTGTGGGGGCAGAGGTGCTGGAACTAGGGGTGCTGCTGCACCCCCTGGCTCGAAGGGTTTACAGTTGGGTTAAATGGCTCTCAGCGCCCCTGGGTAGGGGGGTAGCACCCATCAAACAGTTCTCACTCTTTGTGGCACCACCCTAACCTTTCTCCTTCACATGTGGGGCCTGGGGTAGTAACCTACCGTGGGGTGGGGGGACTTTTTCTCTTTTGTCCACCTTACGTACCTTTGGCAGGGCTTTTTTGAAGCAGTTCTGCATGAAGTTCTCATACGTAAATTAGGGAAATGTGGTCTAGATGCAATTACTATAAGATGGGTGCTCAACTGGTTGAAAGACTGTACTCAAAGAGTAATTATCAGTGGCTTGCTGTTAAATTGGGAGACAGTATTTAGTGGGGCCCCACAGGCATCAGTCCTGGGTCCAGTACTATTCAACATTTTCATTAATGACTTGGATAATGGAGTGGAGAGTATGTTTATAAAAGTTGCAGATGTCACCAAGCTGGGAGGGGTTGCAAGCACTTTGGAGGGCAGGTTTTAAATTCAAAATGACTTTGAAAAATCAGAGGATTGGTGTGAATTCAACAAGATGAAATTCAATGAAGACAACTGCAAAGTAGTTAACCTGAAGGAAAAATCAAATGCACAGCCGCAAAATGGGGAATAACTGGTGGTAATACTGCTGAAAAGACTCTGGGGGATTATAGTGGACCACAAAATGAAACAAGTCATCAATGTGACGCAGCTGCAAAAAAGGCTAATATGTTTCAGGGGTGTATTAACAGGAGTATTGTATATTAGACACAGGAGGTAAATGTCCTGCTCTACTTGACACTGGTGAAGCCACACCTGGAGTACTGCATCCAATTCTAGGCAATACAATTTAGGAAGGATGTGGACAAATTGGAAAGAGTTCAGAGGAGAGCAACACAAATGATGAAAGGTTTAGAAAATCTGAATTATGAGGAAAGGCTGAAAAAACTAGGCATGAAAAACTAGTCTTGAGAAAAGAAGACTGAGACACAACCTGATAAGTCTTCCAATATGTTAGAGCTGTTATAAAGTACAGTAATCAATTGTTCTGCATATCCACTGAAGGTATGACAAGAAGTAATGGTCTTAACCTGGGAGGGAGTTTTAGGTTAGATATTAAGAAAGCCTTTCTAATTATAAGAGTAGTTAAGCTCTGGAATAGGCTTCCAAGGGAGGTTGTAGAGTTCCCATCATTGGAAACTTTTAAAAACAAGTTGGACAAACCATTTGTTATGTATAATCTAGGTTTACTTGGTCCTGCCACAGTGCACGGGGCTGGACTTGATACTTCTTGAAGTCCCTTCCTGCCATACATTTCTGTGATTCTATAATGGAGGTGTGAACCCCAAAACTGCCCAGCAACAGGTAGCCCTCTGCCCATCCATAAAAGTGCGGCTAACAACATATCTCTGCCTCTCAGAATAAAATACGTTTGGAGATGGATAGCATCATAAGTGTCCCAAGTGTTGCTTGTTTTTGTTATTTATGCCAGTTTATTTTAAAGCACGTATTGATGAAATGATTCCTGCATGCAGAAGAGCCAGAACCTGCCCTCTGATACAAGCCATTGGAAATATGTGGAGGTATCTGAAGGCAACGTTTGGCATATGGTTGGTACATTTGTGGTGGTTCATTTGGGAATGAAGTCTATAAATTCTCATACAGATAACGAACCCATTCTATAGCATATAGATGCCATATAAATATAAGATGCCGTTATTACTTATTAAAATACAAAGTGAAAGTATTGTTAATTGAGAGAGTTTATCCATTTAGAACTAATTGATAATTTCATAGTCCAAACAAGTCTGTTAGTTTAACAATAAACAGTTAATGATGCTATACCACTTCAAAGCATTGTGACAGTTTGAAGGATGGAGATTTTAAATGATGCAATTTAGGGTTCTATAAACACTGATGTGCATGCTTATTTTTGAGCAGTTAAATAATTCCATTGGAGTCAATGGGACTACTTACATGCTTAAAGTTAAGTAAATGTGCAAGAGTTTGCATAACTGGGGACAGCACCTTTGAAAACTACAATTCTTATTTTTCCACATACTCACAAGCCTCAGCTGGCTGGAACTTTGCATGCCAAGAGCAGACTTTTCCAACAAAATGTTATAAATACCTGAAAATAAAAGTTAATAACAGAAGCTCTAACAGACAACTTTAGCAGTCGAGGCATGAGTGGATACTGATCTAGTTAGTGTAAAATGGGATGTTAAGATGATTCCAGTAAACAGATCTGATTAACCAATCAATTTACTTCCTTGCTGCTGTTTGGCATTCTCACAGTGAACATCTTTCCACCATAGAAAAAGACACCAATGGAGATACTCTGTGGGTATGGTGTTATCCTTCCACCACAGCTGAAATGAGGGATCTATTGCTGAGAAAATGCTGCCTTACAGATGAAAATAAACTGCTTCACACCTTTGTATTTGGCCAGTATAGAAGATCATGGTTCTATATCACAACAGTGGAAGTTCAAGATTCTTCAGTCTTGAAAAAGGTGGGACTGAATCACTAATAAAGCAGTCTAAAGCAGTGTTTTGGGGCCTAGTTCTCCAAATCCTTGACTACTAGCTGGGGTACTTACTACTGGTAATAGGTTTCAGAGTAGCAGCTGTGTTAGTCTGTATTCGCAAAAAGAAAAAGAGTACTCTGTGGCACCTTAGAGACTAACAAATTTATTTGAGCATAAGCTTTCGTGAGCTACAGCTCACTTCATCAGATGCATTCAGTGGAAAATACAGTGGGGAGATTTATATACACAGAGAACATGAAACAGTGGGTGTTACCATACACACTATAAAGAGAGTGATCACTTAAGGTGAGCTATTACCAGCAGGGGGGCGAGGGGGGAGCTTTTTGTAGTGATAATCAAGGTAGGCCATTTCCAGCAGTTGATAAGAAGGTCTGAGGAACAGTTCTAGTGGAAAGAATGGGGTTGTTCTCAGGAACAAGCACATGCTCAAGAGTAAGTGTTTACAGGATTGGACCCATATTTTGCAGTTTTTAAAGTCCCTGAGTATGTTTTATGGTCTTCGTCAGTTGTGAACTTTTTAAAATTATTTTTTGCAGATTATTTTTGGGGTTGAAATACACTATAACCACTTGCTGGAAAATAAATACAAAATTCACTGTTTTTCACACAAATTAAAAATATTTGAGAGGAGGAAAAGCTCAGGGCCACTTCCTGGCACAAGTTTTTAAGCATAAATTCGCATTGAAAAACAATGAGGAATTTTGCCTAAAAATCACATGTATAGTATGACGCTAAATCTTGGCAATAGAGGTTGAAAGAAGTCTGTAGAGTTCCTAGCACAATAGGGCTTGATTCTTGATAGTCCTTTCCTACTGAAGTCATTGGGCAAAAATTGTGAGTAGCAGATTAATGTACTTTATACCAGTTTGGTATTCTGTGTGTATGCAAAACAAGTGTAATATATACTCCCTCTTTGGCCTCTCTATGAGCAGCAAAAAAGGGGGTGTGGCTGGGTACAAAGAAAGGAGTATATATGCAGTCCTTGTGTAAGAGGATGGAACTTCCTTTGAAATCAATGGGATTGCATCAGTTTCCACTTATGGGTGAATTGGGCTCCTAAAGCATTAAGGATATCTTCTGTGGCATGGTCATAATGTAATGTAATGTCATTAAAGTAATGACATGGAAAACTTTATTATTATTCATGTTAATCCTAGATATGTTTAGTGATAGCTTCCCTGCGCTTGCAATTTGAAGTTAGACCCAAGAAATAACAAAAGAATAACGGACATGGGTCATTCCGGGGGAAAAAAGTAGTAAAGAAATGGAGGAGGATAAAAGGTGAGAAGGGGAATTTCCATGTAATTATGAAAAGGAGAAAGTTGGGTGCATCATGGATTTTAATTTTGGGGGTGTTTTAATAGAATTTATGATGGAATAAATTTTGTCAGAATGGAAGATTGAAGGTGATAGACCTGGCAGATTTGGACTGATTATTTGGATCACAAAAGGAGTAGTTGTTTGGTGTATGAAAACAGGGAGGCTACTCCAGGCAATGTAGAGGAACGTAGTTGTATAGGAAGCTTTGGAAAGGAATAGGCTGATATTAGGTAAAAGATATAGGCAGGAAGGAACACTGTGCATATCCTTGCTTTATCTTACATTGTTTGTTTTTAAGCAGTTTTCATCACTGAAGGATAGACTTTGTAGAACTTCCCTTGACTTGTCTATTTTTTTGGCTGTAAATATCCCTTTTCCTATTACATCCCCCCCCCTTCTTTTCCCCTCAGAGTGTAAGAGATTAATTTTGCCACTTACACCCAATTTTCTGACCATCTTATGCGATCTCCAATATGTCCAATGGAAAGGGTTTTGCACAGTTTGTTAGATATTACAAAAATGCAGACATAAATGCTTGGGACCCAGGCTGTAAAATTAGTCTTTGAACAGCATTGTTATATCTCACTCATTATTTATAGCTATAATAGGTTTTTCATTGTTGAATTCTCTACATTTCTGCTCAAATATATGTCTATTTTAAAATGTACCTTAGAATTCAAAGTCTCTATTTTGGTACATGATTTATTGTGTTTTTCTGAAGGATTGAATTGTGTATGTATTCATCTCTATTACTAATAATTGAAATATTGCAGATGCACTTTCATTTCTTCTATACTCTGACATTAAGGTCCCTTAATAAGTTGTTGTAAGACTAGTAGTATTGTGGCATTCCATATTAAGTAAAAAGCATTCCAATGTGGTGATTCCTCCTATCCTTCTCCCACCCTTTCCATCCCCCACCATGGTTCTGTCCTTCTACTCACTCCGTTGTAATCTATCATATCTGCAGTATGAGGTTAATGGGGTGTTGTGAGGTAACTGTCTCATGTTTAGGGGTGGTTTTTTTATTTTTGTTGCATTTAATCCACCAAATATTGATAATGCCAACTCAGTGAAAGCGGGTCAAGTCAGAAGCCATTAGCTATGTTTTTTTTTCCTGTGTATAAATGAGATTTGCAGCTGTCTTGCACACTCCTAGTACTGTAATATCTTGTATGAGTGTTGCATTAAATTTAGTAATATAAACATTACCTGAATTCAAATGGAAGTATATAAAACAACGTGCATATTTTTTGTGTGTTTTGGACAGGTGACTCACTTTTCTATTGTTCTGACTGCCAAAGATTTTAACCCGGAGAAATATGCAGCCTTCACTAGGATATTGTGTAGGTCTGTATAAAAGCTGTATTTAGTGCAAATGTTTAAATACTTAGGTCTTGCCAAACTGGGAGGGTGAACAATACATGTTGTCGAACAATGCATGTTTTATAACAATATGAATGTTTGCTGGGATTCTGTATTATGATTCGTTATTCCAACTATATAAATTCTAGGTCTGTGATTAAGTAGAACTGGCTATTCTGTGTCCATGTGATAAAATTAAGAACATAGTCAAATGTTCAACATATGTTACTATAAAAATAAAATTCTTCATTTTTCACAGCTTTTTTTTCAGTAACATGTTTTAAAAATGTCATAAATACTGAAAGAGCCTCTGTGATCTTTCTGTTTCACTGTTGCGTAAACTATTTAGGTTGGCTGTGACTTGTTTTGTGTGTGTGTGTGTATCTTATAAGGTGGAGGTTATTAAGGTTGACATAAACTGATAGTCTTTCTAAATGATCTGAAAATTATAGTTGAATTTAAAAATAAACGTGACAGTGGCTTTGTAGGGAAACTAAAATGGAAGCTGGCACTTAGAAACATCTACAACGCTATTTTTGAAATCTGTTTTGAAGCTTTAGGTACTGTGTCCCTACATCTGAATGCCTTTCTCCTTTCCCAGGGGAAACTTACCAGTAGTTAAAGCTCAGAGGAAGAGAAACGATTAACACATGGATATTAAGAGGGAGGAGAGTTTCTTTTTTCTATGTACAAGGGACAGACTGAGAGTCTTTGCATTTGTCTCAGAAATGACAAAAAGACCTAGAAATTGGAGGATTGGGCCAAAAGAAATCTGATGAGGTTCAATAAGGATAAGTGCAGGGTCCTGCACTTAGGACGGAAGAACCCAATGCACAGCTACAGACTAGGGACCGAATGGCTAGGCAGCAGTTCTGCGGAAAAGGATCTAGGGGTGACAGTGGACAAGAAGCTGGATATGAGTCAGCAGTGTGCCCTTGTTGCCAAGAAGGCCAATGGCATTTTGAGATGTATAAGTAGGGGCATAGCGAGCAGATCGAGGGACATGATAGTTCCCCTCTATTCGACATTGGTGAGGCCTCATCTGGAGTACTGTGTCCAGTTTTGGGCCCCACACTTCAAGAAGGATGTGGATAAATTGGAGAGAGTCCAGTGAAGGGCAACAAAAATGATTAGGGGTCTGGAACACATGAGTTATGAGGAGAGGCTGAGGGAGCTGGGATTGTTTAGCCTGCAGAAGAGAAGAATGAGGGGGGATTTGATAGCTGCTTTCAACTACCTGAAAGGGGGTTCCAAAGAGGATGGCTCTAGACTGTTCTCAATGGTAGCAGATGACAGAACGAGGAGTAATGGTCTCAAGCTGCAGTGGGGGAGGTTTAGATTGGATATTAGGAAAAACTTTTTCACTAAGAGGGTGGTGAAACACTGGAATGCGTTACCTAGGGAAGTGGTAGAATCTCCTTCCTTAGAGGTTTTTAAGGTCAGGCTTGACAAAGCCCTGGCTGGGATGATTTAACTGGGAATTGGTCCTGCTTTGAGCAGGGGGTTGGACTAGATGACCTTCTGGGGTCCCTTCCAACCCTGATATTCTATGATTCTATGATTGTCTCGCGTACAGCAAGTCTTCTGTCAGCTGTACCTTTTTTGCTAATGTTTCTTTGATAGTCATGAGGTAACTGATCGTATGATTGGTATTTAAAAATCAAATGAAGAATATGAGGAGTTTTGCCTTTCACAAAACAAATCTTTTATAAATCCACAAATATTTTGTTTTTGTTTTTTTTTAATTTGAGTTTTATACTGAAACTATAGCTCCCACTCACTTGTGAAACAGGAAATTGTAATAGGAACATGAGTTGATCATAGATCCAAAAAAACAGGCAAGCTTTTGTGCACATGCTGAATGGCTTTTTATTATTGTATTTAAAACTAACATCAATCATGTGTCTTAAAATCAGAATTCTTCCAAATCAGTGTTTTGGTGATACCATGACCTTTTTCATATACCTAGCTGCACTGTTCACACCATCATAGACAAAAACTAAATATTTTCACTCTTTTAATGCAGAATCTACCTGAAGCATGGAAGTCCAGTTAAAATGATGGAGAGTTACATTGCAGTTCTTACAAAGGGGATCTGCCAGAGTGAAGAAAATGGATCGTTCCTCAGCAAAGATTTTGATGCCCGAAAGGCTTACCTTGCAGGTTCAATCAAAGGTTAAAAATAAATCTATAGTCAACTGCTTACTTATATCTTATTTAAATATGAAACCCACATAAAACAGATTTATATATCAAGTTCCAAATTCTGTTCAGATAAGTAACTAATATGAACTGTTCATATATATTCTGAATATAGTGATATCTGGTGACTTGTCATCAAAGAAGTATTGCCAGAAGATACACTTGCGATACCATAATGTCTTTCTTTTCTGTCTCGTAGATATAGTATCTCAGTTTGGTATGGAAACAGTTATCCTATTCACTGCACTGATGTTAAAGAAAAGAATTGTTGTATATCACCCAAGAATAGAAGTCATCCAGGAGTTTACCAGGTATACCACATACCCGTAAATAAAAATGCATTAGGCCCTGATTCTGGAAAGTATCTATATTCAGGAAAGCACTAAAGTAAATGCTTAAAGTTAAACATGTTCTTAGGTCCCATTGATTTCAGTGGAACCAAAGTATGTGTTTAAGTGCTTTCCTGAACTGGGGCCTTAAAAATAGAATGGATACCAATAAAAATAATGATTCTACTTACCACCAATGATATAAGGACCCTCAATTCTCTGTGTATGTCTGTATGTGTGCTCTCATGTACAAGAGATTCTTAATGTCACAAAATTGATATTTCTCTCTAAAGCTTTACAATATGAAGTGCTAAGCCACCTATAAGCACAAAAAAAAATATTCTTAGTTTCAAATGCTAACTTCATTTCCTTAGGACTCTACCTGCTTTAGTGTGGCATCGACAGGACTGGTCAATTCTTCATTCGTATGTTCATCTAAATGATGATGAACTGGAAGCATTAAAGACCTGCACAGGTAGTGTTAAATTATCAGTCAAACTTTGTTCATAATGTTCATTTCATCTGTATTGGAGCAACATCCTTTAGCAATAATGTCATGAAAATCTGTTGCTATTTCCATCATAAATTCATTTTAAGGATTTTTAATTCTTTAAATCTGTCATAGAAAGTTAGACTGTATATTTTTTTCTTTGAAAAAAAGTATGTGTTTTATGTTAAATTAAAGATCAGATAAATACTTTTATTGGTGGTTCCATCCAGATGGATTGTACTTCCTCCTCCCCCCCAAAGCTACTGTAAATGATTTCCTTTACTTATTAAGAAGATAGAGCCAGTCATTAGAGAATGTAATCCAGAACCAAATATCACAAATTGTGCGATAGTTATTACCAAATAATCTTTTGGTAATTTTTCTGGGGTCTCCTAGTGGAAATGGTCACACGAAAGGAAATGAAGACTTAATCTCTCATCTGCTAGAAGCTGCTTGGCTATTCGTAGCCTCCTATTGGGAAAAGAAAAAATAGCCCAACCATTGGGGAATGGTTAAAAAAAATATGGGAGGTTGTGGTTACAGAAAAATTTAATACACCAATTTGAATAGTAGCATTTGATACATATATTTAATATATGTCTACATAGAGATTTCACTCAATTTAATAAATCACTAGGAACGACATAGGTGTTGTAATGATGCTTACTCTGTAATATGGTAACATCCTGTTAAATAGACTAGATTCCTGTATAATGTCTCTTCAAACAAAAACTAATTGTTGTGATGATTATTTTATTTCTGATATTTACATGGCAGGTATTTGTAAACTTATTAACTTCCTAAAAAAATAGCTTAAAAAATAAAAAGGAGGTAGGGATGTGAGCTTGTTTCCTTTTGATGTTGTTTTGGGTCAGATGGAATGAAGGAATTATGCAGTGTTACAGGAGGGGTTGATAACATGCCTTCAACCCAAATAAAATTATCTTCTAAGTAAGTACGTTGTTAATGATTAACTTTTCTTATTTTTTAACTACAAAAGAGTAACTCAAAGTAATCGTGGGTATTTCACTTAAATTAACAAGAAGCAATTCACTTTAAAGGTTGAAATTCTATTCAGAACGTGCTCCACTATGTCAGTTGGTGGCTGTTTATTATAGTCACAAATGGACTTCACAAGCTATAAGAGTCTGATTTGTGATTTCTATTGAGTGTAAAGGTTATACAATAGATCAAAAGACCTCAAGCTTCTACCTTCCCCCCCTAAACTGGACACAACAGAGGGAATGAAGAATTTAGCAGTATTCTTAACACTGAATTTCCTCACGCTCGTCTCTTTCAGATAATCAGTGTTATAGTTAACAACAAGTATTTTTAATGTTTGTTTGACTATTTTACCACTAGTGTATACCTCAGCTCATCAAAATCAGTAACCACACTTCCACGGAGAACAGCTGCTATAATGGAAGGCATACTGAGATGAACTTAGCTAGCATGTTGTAAATCAGAAAATATTCTGCTGCCACTACTGTCCTATTCCTGACCCAAATAGCCACTAAGGGCACCTTAATGGAGTCTTAGTGTATAGACTAGTGGTCTCCAACACTTTTTTACGCACAAGATCACTTTTTGAATTTAAGTTCAACCCAGGATCTACCCCACCGCTTCCCCAAGGCCCCGTCCCTTCCCTGAAGCCCCGTCCTGATCACTCCATCCCCCACTCTCTCTGTCGCTCGCTCTCCCCCACCCTCACTCACTTCCACCAGACTGGGGCAGCAGGTTGGGGTTCGGGAGGGGGTGCGGCTCTGGGCTGAGGGGTTCAGAGTGTCAGAGGGGGCTCTGGGCTGAGCCTGGAGTAGGGGGTTGGGGTGCAGGAGTGGGTGAGGGATGTGGCTCTGGGCTGGGGCAGAGTGCTGGAGTACGGGTTGCTGGCTCTGGGAGGGGGGTCAGGGCTGGGACAGGGGATTGGGGTGAAGAAGGTTTGGGGTGCAGGAGGAGGTATGGGGTGGGGGCTCAGGGCTGGGGGTTGGCGTGCAGGCTCCCGCTGGTGGGTACTTACCTCAGGCAGCTCCTGGTTGGTGGCGCAGCGGGGCTAAGACAAGCTCCTTGCTAGCCCCGGCCCCAGTCTGGCACATTGGCACCTTCTCCCCATCACGAGCCAGGCCGCCCACCCGCCCACCAGCCAGTAGTTCACCATGTGGCCACGCCACTCCCAGAAGGCGCCAACGTGCTTCTGCGGCCCCTGGTGGAGGGGCACGTGGCTCTGTGCACTGCCCCTCTCCGCAGCTCCCACTGGCCACAGCTCTCTGTTCCCAGCCAATGGGAGCTGCGGGGGCGGTGCTTGCAAGCAGGAGCAGTGTGTGGAGACACCTGCCCCCCCGGCCACGGGGACATGCTGGTCGCTTCTGGGAGCTGCATGGGGCTGCAGCAGGCAGGCAGGGAGCCTGCACCACTATGGCCGGAGATCGCAATCAACTGGGAGAGTCTCCAGGATCGACCAGTTGGTGACCACTGTTATAGACCTTCATGTATTTCACCTTTGGAAAGTGAACATACAGTCACATTTTTGGAATATTTTGAGTAGCAAGAAAGCTTTGAAACTGAAAACATAATCTTCCTTACTACATATAGTGTTTTGTTCTTAATTTTAAACTCCATAAGTCAAAAAATACACTACGTGCCTAATCAAATGCCCAAAGAAGTCAATTAACTTCAATGGGTGCTAGATCAAGTCCTTAATTTTAAGAGATTTTAGTTTACACTACATCTCTTTTGTTTTTCAGTTTTTAATCAGAATTTGTCTTGGTAAATCTCTACCACCTAGGTTACATTGCTGGATTTATAGACTCCAAAGTGAGCAATAGACCGGATCTATATGATGTGTATGTGAATTTGGCAGACAGTGAAATTACCATTTCCCAGCAAGCGAAAGGTTGGTTGGCAGCATTTGTTTTTGTTTTGTTTTGGCGAAGGGTGGTGGTATTTGCTTTGTAACTCTGTGAACATAGAGCCAGATTCAACAAAATATTGGTCCTTTTTCTAGGCTTGTTGTGAGAGAGCAATTACTTTAGAGCTTTCGTAGTCCTTCTCAACTGGGAGCCTGGAAGATCTTTGGTGAATCTGGGCCATAATGTCATCATGTATAAATGCCGAAGTAAAGGAATTAGAGAAGGGTGGTCTTGTGCATAATCATAGAGTCTTAATTAAAAACACGTGACTGAAACATTTCATATTTTCATAAAGTTACATTCTAAACCATGGGTAGGTTCTGGATCCAGCCCAGGACTAAGCCCTTATAAATGTCTCTTCCCATTTTCATATCCACTGAACTTTGGGTTTTTTATCTCCTCCTAATGATCAAGGGGAAATGATGCTTGCAAAACTCTCAATGCATGGAGGATAAAACCTTTAGAGCAGTAGGAAATCTTAACTTGGTTTTATTAAAAATGCACAAATTAATTCCTCCATGGATGTCAAATGACAGATACAGATCATGAGGAGCACTCATAATTTGGCTTGCCATCAATTTACCAGATGACAGTTTGTCACTTAAATGCATTTGCACATTTCACTACTAAAAATTCATGACAATCCTTTAAAATATTTATCAGCTCTTATTTTTAAAGTATAAAGAAAAAAGCCTAATCTTGGTTAACCTTGATTTATCTTTACTCTATGTTCTTTATATAAAAACTTCAGCATACTTTCTGGAAACTAGCAGTAAACTTATCTGTAATGCCATTGTAGGATCTAAAATATTTTGTCTAATTGTACCTCTGCATATTAATTTTATCCCAGCAAAAGCAATAAAGAAGATGTGATGGGAATACATGAAAATATGATAAAGTTCAAAGTACATTTTTGTGAAAAGTTCTTATAGGTGGTCCTATTATTCTTCCTCCTACATAAATGTTTTCAGGAAGCTCCATTAAAGAGAGCATATGAGTAAAGGTGAGAGGTGCCATTGTTACAAATGCTAGTGACCTGCTACTACTATTTTTGGATGAAGGGTGCTATATGTGCAAAATATTATGTTCTAGATTGGTTAGATGATCAGAATGAATGCATGATATATTTTCTCTACTCTCCCAGAGGCAATGACAATGGGAAAATTGCACAAAGAAATTGGTCAACTCATTGTTCAGTCTGCAGAAGATCCAGATAAATCAGATAGTCAAGTCATTAAGGTTAGTCCCTTTTATGTTTAAAGTTCTCCTTTCATTAACATTTTACTAAAAAAAAAGAAAGAAATACCATAATGAAATGCCAGGCCCTGCTTCCCCCAAAGTCAGTTGATCTGTTGCAATCTCTAGTTTATAAATACCACTATACATTGAAATTCTTAAAATAGTTCTGCTATCATGACCTGGTTATAATGGTATGTAAATAAATTAACTAAAACATAGTGTATTGGCACTTCATGTTGTTGAAATAATTCCAGACACTCCTTTGACTATATTTAACTTGTATTAAAATAAAATGATTTTACAATGGTATACGATTTTATAATCAGTTATTTGCTTCACTTATACTATAACTTCTTGGGAAAATTCATAACTAACATTTTAAACCCTGAAATATGCTTCTTCAGATTTAAGATTGGGCTTCAAAATGCTGTGTTTTTTCCCTTGTTCCCACACCAATAGAGTCTGTTAGCTATTACACAATTGCATTGCGGTAATAATTTTGAAATAAAGGCGTTATGTGAAATGCTGAGAACTCCCAGCTATCCCTGAATTAAATGTTCAGCATCTCACATGATCAGATCTGAAGAAAGAATATTCCAAATTTCTTTTTTTTTTTTTTTTAAGTGGCAGATTGGTCAGAACGCATCAATTATTTCCTCTGTATACTATTTGTGTTAGTATCTTATACAGAGGTGTTAATAATGTTAAATAATTTTCCTAGTACTGCATTCGTGCTTGCTTATTTATCTATTCTTATTTTAAGGATATTTCACTGAAGACAAAGGAAATTTTGACTAATCTGGCATCATTTACTGAAGTTTCTGATGATGGTGAGAAACCGACACTTAACTTTGAATCCCTAAAACAAAAGCGATATCCACCAGCTACAGAAAACTTTCTTTATCATCTAGCAGCTGCTGAACAAATGCTTAAGATATGACTTTGTTGATACACTTAAATGTTGTGGACCAATATGAAACTATTCCCTTTGCCATAAAACTATGACTATCTGCTACTTATATAAAAAATTAAAGGTAGCAAAGAAAATGTTACATTTTTAATGATGTAATGCAAAATATAGACATTTGACCTGGAACATGCGGCTACACATTAGGAAATATTTCTAGTCTTTTTACGTTTCTTTGACTCTGACTTTATACACACAAGGGCAGATACTCAAAAACACAACCTGAGTTGGGCACCTTACCTGTGTTTGTGCCTTTGAAATCTTCTTCCTTACTCCTGGTGTACTATAACTTCACAGAACTGGACATACTAGTATAAACACGTTGAAATCCGATACACTGAAAGTAACACTGAAAACTGGAAAATGGTTAGAGCAGTAAAAATATACCTGTTTATCTTGTTGCATGGCCATAAAGTAACAGTTTTTCAGTAAGCAGTCTGAAACTAACTTTGCTTTGTAATCTTCTGGGAAGAACTTAAATTCTTTGTAAGGAAACCTACTTTCTGAGCCAAACATCCAATGTTTCTGCAGAAATGTCTATGAAACCAGTCAAAAAGTTCTGCAGTAGCGCTTTTGTTATACGAAAAATAGAACTTTTTTTCCTGGCCTTTGCACAGATGGGTGTAGCATGTGGTTTTACATAGAGATTTTATACTTAAAATAAAAAATTTAGTAATCCATATTTATACTATTAAAAATTGAATGTTTGGTATCTTGAAGCTGTAAGAACTCATAATTAACTATATACAAACCATATTAATTTGAGAAAGATTTTTGTTTATGTATTGTAAGGAAGTCTATTTTAGAATATGGATAAGGAATTAGGTATCTATATATAAAATAGCTACTTATTGCAGTTAGTCCGAGAGAACTACTGCTACAATCCCCTATTTTGAGGGGTGTATAATCCTACTTCAGATATTTACACGAGACAGAAACTTTGCAGTTAGTTTAGACACAGAAGCATTTTTTAAAGGAACGGCATATTGACTGTAAAAAGAAAAGTAGTGCTTGTGGCACCTTAGAGACTAACTGTGTTTTGCATATCAGTGCTCTCTGACTTTTTTCCATTTGTATAACCTAAGGGGTGTTTTTTAATGGTCCAGATAAGTTTAAAGATCATATAGAAAGAAACACAGTTAGGGCTTGAGCCTTAAGTCCATTGAAGTTAGTCTTTCCATTGAGTTCATTCAACATGCTTTGGATCAGGTCTTGAGCATCTCTAGAACTATAACTACAGGGTTAGAGTGAAAATTTATTTCCCTGGATTCTTCTAAAAAATGCAAGCTTTTATTAAAATAACATATAGTTGAAATAACATGCATGCTTTAGGATAACTCACAAAAAAGCGGAGTTCTCATTTGCCAACTAAATATTTGATATTTAATTATTTTCTTTTATGTTCAGTCTTGGAGACGCTTTAGTTGCAAATTTCCTTATTGTTTGTCTCAGACCTTTCCTTCTAATGTTTTTTGTATGAAAACAAATGAAACTTAATTTTGCACTTCAGGAATTATACATATTGCAAAGTTATGCCTATAAAACATGATCTTTTTTTTTTTCCTGAACCCCTTGCCCTGTGTATTTCATGTAAATTGTGCTTGAATAGTCATGGTCATCAAGTGACAGGCTTCAGCTCTTAAATTACAATAAAATAATAGAAATATTTAGTAACGTGGTAACTTAAAACATTTACAATATTTCAACCACAATGTCTAGTTTAAAAAGAATCGTGTTGTGTTTTTGTTTACATTGAATGTACAGCAAGGTGGTATAAGCAAACTCTTGTAGTAGGTGGGAGACAGAATTTCAATGGAAGGTGTGCAAAATTAGGTTTAAATTCCCTCCAGCCCCCAGATGATGCACTTATCCTGTGAGGAGAAAATTGGGCCATTTGCACTTGTATGAAGTAATGCATCACCTACACTATTACAACCTTTATTCCATATATAACAAAACAGAACTGATGTAGATCATAACCAGTTTGTTTTGCTAACTTTCAAAGGGACAGATGGTAATGTCCTTGTTGAAATTTAACTTATTCTTTCTATCTCCAGAAGTCAGTGAACTGTGTTCCTCTAGAGTAGTATTTTTCTTCCTAATGGTTTTTTGACATCTAGAGATTTCACAAGGGTTAAAAGGAGAGTTTGAGTGTAACTGGTAAAATCAGCAATCCTTTGTTAACCAAGTGTGGTTCTGCGCTGAGAAGTGACAGTCTGAGACTCCAGGTTAGTTCTGATTTCCATAATGGATATGTTCAGCCTACAAATAGCCGTTTTTGCAACTGTCAGCCCTACAAACGCAATATGTGGGTCTGAAAGTCAAGCTGTATCCTTTTTTTACTCCTTTATCATTCCTAATAGTAAGATTCTGCAGGTTAAATTCTGAGTTATGCCTTTTCTTCTCTATTGCCTTCTAGGATTGGGTAAAAGAGGAATGGATTTGGCCTCGCCATTGAAACTAAATGGTGATGTTGATAACCAACCCAGTAGAGAAACCAGCTCCCGCTCCCAGTTGCATTGGCTTTGCAGTGTTACCAAAGGTTTAAAGTAGAAAAAAATGGATGTATATAGTTTGATCTGACTCAGATTTACATTGGGAGCATATTGAGTTACATGGTACCTTTGTATAGCTACTGTTAGCACAGAACAGCACTTTAAAGCACGTACCATTACCCACCATTTCCATAGTCCAGGTCTACACGTAGATTTTGTACTGATGTAACTTTCAGTTAGGGATGTAATATATTTTTTAAACCAAAAAGTTATACTGGTATGTCTCCTAGAGTGGACACAGTTATGCCAATATAAAAGTTTATATCACTGTAGCTTATTCCTTTATGGGAAAGGGAATACTGAAATAACTGCATCCATAAAAGGGCTACACCACTTTAACTACACCAGTATAGTAAAAACGGTACAGCATCTGTGTATACGAGGCCTTAGTCTTTGTAGAGGTAAGGATTAACTTGAGATATGAGAGTTAATTACGTATACAAAAAACTGCATTAAAAACATTATTAAGGTTGCCAAGTCAAGCACTTCAAAGTTAGGAAATGTCAGAATTAAGGTTGCCTGTACAACATTAATTCAGCCCCCTTGTTTGTATGCATAATACTCTTTTTACAAGACATGCTGTTTTTTCCACAGGACCCTTGTCTCATTCAGTGCACAGAACTTAAGGAGCAGCTATTGGATATTTTATTTTTCTCCTCATTGTTCAACGTTTGTCCCCATGCCTTATTTACTGCACACTATTCAAACCCTGCTCTGAACAATTAATTTCCTAATGGGCTTTTCTGTGGTGCCAAACAATATAATATTTGAGTGCTTCAGAACTATTAATTTCTTTTCACAACACCCATCTGAGGTGAGGGGGCATTATCCCAGTTTTAAAGATGGGGAGCTGAGGAACAGAAAAATTAAGGTCAAAATATCCACTAATTTTGGGTGCCTAATTGGAGATGCCTGGTTTTTCGAGTACTTCACATTAAATAACACTTTATAGGTTCAAAGTACAGTTCTCTTTGTCTTCAGCTGCAGGTGTGAGTGCTCAGCACTTCTGTGAATCAGAATCCAGGCTATCAAGTTGGACACCCAGAAAATGAGGAATGCACAATTAGTGAATATCTGAGAAAAGTTTGAGAGTGACTTGACTAGCATCACATAGGAACTCTGGCAGAGGCAGGGACAGAATCCAGCTCTCCAGGGCAGCATTCAGCTACCTTAACCATGAAACCATCCTTTTGTCTTCCTGTAATCCCCTGCCATCTTCTGCCTTAACCACTACATACCTTCCAACCTGGTATCTTACAGACACAATCTCCTTCACTACACAACCCTGTTCCATCTCCAGAGCAGGTTCATCCTGTGCACTTAATGAAGCAGAGGGAAAAAAGTTTGTGATTATGTAACATGAATGTCTCATGATGCATATGCCCAAGGGGGCTGAATTCATTTTGCACATGCAAACTTTATACTGGTATTTACTAACTTTCAAGTGTTTGACTTTGCAACTTTAATGTTCTTTAAAGGTTTGTGTGTATAATTTCATATGCTTTTAAAAAAAGCAACCTAAAAAACCAATTTCCATCACCTGGCATCATATTGACATTCACATGGTTCATCAGCAGGGTTGGAACCTTTAGATTCATCACACAGACCTCTGCCATTTGAGCTAACAAGTAAAACATAGCAGTAGTAGGTTGTCATCCTGCATGCAGACCAGCATAAGAGGAGGAATGGGACACTTCTGCTAGTGCATTTCACAGATATTTGCTGACTGCAATCTGGATTCCAATCCAGGCTTTGGAGGGATGTGTCCCCCAGAGGACTCAGATTCTTCTATTTCTTCTCAAGTACAACCCCTTCTACCCCACCCCCTTCCCACCTGTACCAGTCCTTTTTTTTTTCCTCTCCCACCCCAGCTCCTTCTTCCTGTCACATTCTCCTCACCTATCTAGTCCCAGTCTCCACTGCTTAGGCTTCTCATCACAGGCGCCTTGCCCAGTAAGTTCTAGCCTCAAGCCTCTGGATTCTCTGTCCCCCCTGTACTAGTTTCATTGCCCAGCCAGTCCCCCACCCCCACACCGTGGCCTCCAGTCATACCTGCCCATGTTGCCTGCTCCCCTTGACTCCCAATCTCCTCCCCAGCTGCTTCTCCAATCTCAGTGTGTCTCTCCCCTGCCCCATGCCTTGTTCCAGACTCTTTACCCGGTCCCAGTTTTTCCACCTACACCTCAGCTCCTCATCAGATCCGTCTCCCTCCTCATCACCTCACTGGTTCTCACACTGTCTCCCTGCCTGCTCATCTGATTTCAATCTCCTCCCTTCACCAACTGGCTCCCAGTTTCCCCCACCACATTTATTCATAGATTAATTGGCTTTGAATCCCAGCCTGTCACAATCCCTCTCCTCCAAGTCCTAGACTTCTTGCCAAGTTTGTTACAGTTACTCCTGCTCCCAGTTACTTTGCCTACCAATCCCAGTCTCCCCCACAGAACTCCTGGTATCAGTTTACCTCTTCCCCCTACCAACCTCCAGTTCCACAGTCCCCACCCCCTCACAAAAGCAGCTCTGTCTCTTGACCCCTCTGCACATGCATCAGGCAGCTTTCTTCCCCCCATGCTGTCTGGGTCCAGCAGAGGGCCATCGAGAACACAGTAGAGACAGCATCCCTGGTCTCAGTTCAGGTGTTGAGACCCAACATATGTCATAGCAGCCTAGAGCTGCATTTGTTGGTTAAGTCCTGCTCAGCCCCAACCTGGAGAATGCCCAGGATGGACAGAATCTTCAGGGAATTTTTGCTGCTAAAATGTAAAGTCTATAGTGAGCATGTACAAATGCAATTTTTCAAAGACATAAGTTGGCCAAATTTGGGGAGATTTTCACAGAGATGGCAAAAGGATACATACTTGACACAATTGGCATCCCCTGCCAAATTTCTAGTCCTTGCTCCCAAGCATGGGGTCTTTAGAGCTTTTCAAAGAAAAGGTTGCCAGAATTTTTAATACTGCAAATCAATGAATTTTTCCCTCGTTCTTGGCAATGGCTTAGTCGTTTTGGCCAAAATTTTCCAAGTCTGATGCAACACCTGGTATGGAACATTTTAGCCTGAATGGTTAAAGTTTGGCAGTTATAAACAACTGAAAACAGGGTTTGCAGTGTATTGGGCACCTTAAATAATAAGAGGTTCTTCCAGCTCTGCTTATATTATGAGAGTAACTTTCCACACATGGAGCTGCAAGTATCATTTAGCTTAAATTACTACAGACTGTAACATATTCATGTGTAATGCCAGAGGATTTTAGCGTGTTTAGAATCGGCATGAGTAATTAAATTGATGTGTTGTCTTCATCTTTCTGTGGGTATGTTTCCAGAGTGGTCCTACAGGGATTGAGTCTTGGCCCTTTGCTATTTAACATTTTGATCAATGATCTGGAAGAAAACATAAAATCATCACTGATAAAGTTTCCAGATCACACAAAAATTGGGGAAGTGGTGAATGATGAAGAGGACGGGTCACGGATTCACAACAATCTGGATCACTTGGAAAACTGGGCTCAAGCAAACTGTGCTTTAATACAGCTAAATGTAAATGTATACATCTAGGAACAAAGAATGAAGATCATACTTATAGCATGGGGAACTCAGTGATTCTGAAAAAGATTTGAGGGTGTGATGGATAATCTGTTGAAAATGAGCTTCCAGTGTGACACTGCAGCCAAAAGAGCTAGTGCAATCCTGGGGATGCGTAAACAGGGGAATCTCAAACAGGAGTAGAGAGGTTATTTTACCTCTGCATTTGGCATTGGTGGTTGGAATGCTGTGTCCAGTTTTGGTGCCCACAATTTAGGAAGGATATTCATAAATTGGAAAGGCTTCAGGGAAGAGCCATGAGAATTATTAGAAAACATGCCTTATACAGATTAGTTTAACAAAAAAGTTAAGGGAGTGACTTGATTACATCTGCATGGGGAACAGGCTCTTCATTCTAACATAAAAAGGTATAAAACTGTGCAGTGGTTGGAAATTGAAGCTAGACAAATTCAGACTGGAAATACGGTGTAAATTTTTAAAGGTGAGAGTAGTTAACCATTGGAACAATTTACCGAGGCTCATGGTGGATGCTCCATCCCTGCCAATTTTTAAATTTGGATGTTCTTCTAAAAGATAGGCTCTAGAAATTATTTGGGGGGATGTTCTGTGGCCTGTGTTGTCCTGGAGGTCAGTCTAGATGATCACAGTGATCCCATGGGGCCTTGGAATTAATTTGTTTGTTTAGACCTGGTCCATTATAGTACTTTTGCGTTGCTTTCTTAATTGTTCACACTAGCCTTTACTGTGGTTAATATTAAACATTGTAAAAAAAAAAAAAAAAAGTATATTCTGTTGATAGTAATGAGGGTTAACATATGTGTATTAAGAGCATCGGAAAATCCTTTCTAAATTCACCTTTAGTATGTTGCTGGTACAGGAGTAATGATGGAACAATAGGACAATGTAACTGTAGGATTTATTATGACTTTACTGTAGCAATTAGAACTGTTTCCCTCCCTTTGAAAATGATGGGGCCAGGATACTTTTATTAAAAAAAAATATATATAGGCAAAAATACAATTAATGAGGGGGCTGATCTAAAAGAGCTACTCACAATCCTTTAATAGTCACATCACTGAACTCTCTCCATAATCCATGTAGTACAGCTTTTGCTGCCATTACTGTGTGAGAAGGGCTTTCTTTTTCTTCCTACTACTAGTTGGGGTTTTTACAGTATATTCCTTTGGAGAGCTATATAATACCACCGACAGAATACACAGATATCCTCTGTAGGAGTAGCAAAAGCTCTACTGTCACTCTAAATATAATCAGGCAAGAGGAAAAATAAAATGGATTATGGCATGCAGTAGCACTAAGTGGCAGTCAGGGTGCTGTGTGTATCATATGATTAAGCAGCCATTCCTATAGCCTCCTAGTTCACAGTTTTGCTAACATGCCACAAATTCTCAAAAATAGCTATTTTCCTACCAGCTTCTTTTATGCCTTCCTCTGCTCTGGCCTCTGCTTTCCTCTAAGGAAGAATTGTAAGGACTGCATGGAAGCTACAAAGTGAGAGAAAATGAAAACCTTCAGATTTACAATAGCAGGGGTCTGCCTTATGCCATCTTCTCTCTGAGGCCGTGGCAATGATAGGGCTGAAAGTGCTAATTTGGGAGTGGTATTTTGTTTAGAGATTATTTCTGTAAAATCAATTATGAAATAATTGATAAGATGTAGGCATTATCACCTGCAGTCCCATACCTTGCAGAGCTGCTTCAGTAATGGAGTTGGAGCCCCCTGCTAACCATGATTCTGCTGTGTTCTATTCACCATACAGCTTCATAACCAGGTACCATAACAGCTGGATACTCTGCCAGTTATTTGGTGGCCTGCTATAACTACTCGCCTTCTGCCATGAAAGACCTATTTGTTTCTCTTCAGCTCTCTGAGTTAAGTGGAGGGACAGTGAATAAGGAATAATAAACAGGTTAGGGATTAATCCAGAATACCCTCCCCAAGCTTGTTTCCCCTCACAGAAGCTCCTCCACAGACTTAGAGGAGCTGCTTACATTGTCACCCTTTTCTCCCTAGTGTAGATACACATGCTGAAGTTGCTTGAAGCAATAATAATGCAGGAAACGTGCCTTCATTCTCTTCTCTGGGGCGGTTTTCACATGCAAGCTAATTTGGATGAATACAGTCACTCTGTAGAAATAAGGATTTATTTCTAACCCCTCTCACTATAGGATCAGAAAACCACAGCTGCTGTCTTCTTCGGGTCTGACCAAAAGCCCACTGAAGTCAAGGGAAAAGACTCCCTTTGATTTCAGTAGCCTTTGAATCAGGCCTCAAAACTTTCATCTGAAGAGTGAATTTCAGGGGAAGTCCATGAGGTTGGTTCTGTAGTTTGTTTCTGGACACCTTCTCCCTGAACATCTTCCCAATTAAGTTTAAGCAAAGTTGTGTCAGGGTTGTACTGTTTTAAAATAATTTTATTACCCAGTAAACCCAACTTGACTTCCACATGTCACTTATTTTTTATCCCTTGATCAAATCTATTGACTTCTACTTTTGGGGTGCAGTGGGGAATCTTGTTCTTACCCTACATTATGGGCTCAAAGTCACCTCCCCAGATGAAAATATTAATACTACATTGCTACCTCAGTCACTAAGTGTGAAGCAGCATTAAAAGCTTTGTAAGAAGGGAAAACACCTCCCTTCCCCAACTGAAGTTTATCCTTTTACCAGTCATCTTCCCTGTGTTGTATTTCAAAAGAGGGAACAATGGAAAAATAAAGCCTTTTAAGTAATATGCAGTTATAGGTTTTAATAAGTAGGGAATCAACCACATTGCTGTAGGAGAAAGTACAGAATGCTGGATGTTTCTGATGGGTACAGTTATACAATATTTTTCTCTTTCTGGAGTTAATCACATATAAAGTAGAGGCATTATTAAGCTATTTTCACACACAGGATTCTATGGGGGATCTTGCAGATGGTTTAGATTAGTCTGTCCGTTTAAAAATGTACTGTTCTAAGCCCAGTCTGACAGCCTTTCCCATGACTTCATTATTCAAAAATACACTAGACAGGTTGATTTAAGTTTGAAGCCTTGTATGGACGTACAAATTCAGTTTGATCAAAAGCACACTTATAAGTTAAAGCCATTTTCTAAACTCCCCTGTTGTAAAAAAGCACAGTTTCTTCTGTGGATGTCAAAATCTCTTTTTCAAGGTCATCTCGTTTTATCTGAAATATAAACAAGAGGATTAGACTTATGTCATTAGTGTTACTTTGGGTCCTAACACATACAAGTCAAAGCTCTATCTACACCAAACTTTACATAACTTAAAACATGTAATAAAGTGTAACTAAAAACAAGACTGAATGAGGTGTGGTTTTTGGCTGCTATTTTGTTTAGTTATCTTCCCCACATTTAAAGAAATGCATTATCTAGACCACAGTATAGTCTCCAACTTTGAGTATCAGGCAGTTGCCATTTGATATACTTTGGGTGGCTCTTATACTATAACTGGTAACTTCCCGTATGTGGTGAGCAAATCATAAAGAGGAAAAAGGAACAAGCCACTTGTACTTTCATCACATGACTTCAGAAATTCTATCAACTCTAGTCTACCTTTGTCACTGTAAAAGATGAAACAAGGTACACTCGACCTTTAACGTTAGTAAAGGACTCCTCCTGGATCTATATCATCCCATGTTAGAGTTTTCTGGAAGAGTTCCTCAAACAGAGTTGCTGAGGGAGAGAAAATGATTGTGGAAGAAATCCCAGGCTCCTCGCTTTGTTCAGGGTGTAAGACTGGAGTTCCATGGTACTCGATTGGCACTCCCTCTCAGGGACTGCTGGGCATCTAGTTTCCAAGGTTGCTGGGAGGAGAGTGAGGTATTGATTTAAACATCTCCCTTTGTTTGGAATAGGGGAAACAAGAAGGGTTTCTATAGGTATGTTAGCAACAAGAAGGTGGTCAGGGAAAGAGTGGGTCCCTTACTGAATGGGGGAGGCAACCTAGTGATAGAGCATGTGGAAAAAGCTAATCTACTCAATGTTTTTTTCACCTCTGTCTTCACAAACAAGTTCAGCTCCCAGACTACTGCACTGGGCAGCACAGTATGGGGAGGAGGTGACCAGCCCTCTGTGGAGAAAGAAGTGGTTCAGGACTATTTAGAAAAACTTGACGAGCACAAGTCCTTGGGGCCAGATGCACTGCATCCAAGGGTGCTAAAGGAGTTGGCGGATGTGATTGCAAAGCCATTGGCCGTTATCTTTGAAAACTCCTGGAGATCAGGCGAGGTCCCCGATGACTGGAAAAAGGCTAATGTAGTGCCCATCTTTAAAAAAGGGAAGGAGGAGGATCCTGGGAACTACAGGCCAGTCAGCCTCACCTCAGTCCCTGGAAAAATCATGGAGCAGGTCCTCAAGGAATCAATCTTGAAGCACTTAGAGGAGAGGAAAGTGATCAGGAACAGTCAGCATGGATTCACCAAGGGCAAGTCATGCCTGACTAATCTAATTGCCTTCTATGACGAGATAACTGGCTTTATGGATGAGGGGAAAGCAGTGGACGTGTTATTCCTTGACTTTAGCAAAGCTTTTGACATGGTCTCCCACAGTATTCTTGCCAGCAAGGTAAAGAAGTATGGGCTGGATGAATGGACTATAAGGCGGATAGAAAGCTGGCTAGATCGGGCTCTGTGGGTAGTGATCAATGGCTCCATATCTAGTTGACAGCGGTATCAAGCGGAGTGCCCCAAGGGTCGGTCCCGGGGCCGGTTTTGTTCAATATCTTCATAAATGATCTGGAGGATGGTGTGGATTGCACTCTTAGCAAGTTTGCAGATGACACTAAACTGGGAGGAGTGGTAGATACGCTGGAGAGTAGGGATAGGATACAGAGGGACCTAGACAAATTAGAGGAATGGCCAAAAGAAATCTGATGAGGTTCAGCAAGGACAAGTGCAGTGTCCTGCACTTAGGAAGGAAGAATCCCATGCACTGCTACAGACTAGAGACTGAGTGGCTAGGCAGCAGTTCTGCCGTAAAGGACCTAGGGGTTACAGTGGAAGAGAAGCTGGATATGAGTCAACAGTGTGCCCTTGTTGCTAAGAAGGCTAATGGCATTTTGGGCTGTATAAGTAGGAGCATTGCCAGCAGATCGAGGGACGTGATTATTCCCCTCTATTCGGCACTGGTGAGGCCCCATCTGGAGCACTGTGTCCAGTTTTGGGCCCCACACTACAAGACGGATGTGGAAGAATTGGAAAGAGTCCTGTGGAGGGCAACAAAAATGATTAGGGGGCTGGAACACATGACTTATGAGGAGAGGCTGAGGGAACTGGGATTATTTAGTCTTCAGAAAAGAAGAATGAAGTGGGATTTGATAGCTGCTTTCAACTACCTGAAAGGGGGTTTCAAAGAGGATGGATCTAGACTGTTCTCAGTGGTACAGATGATAGGAGGAGTAATGGTCTCAAGTTGCAGTGGGGGAGGTTTAGGTTGGATATTAGGAAAACCTTTTTTACTAGGAGGGTGGTGAAGCACTGGAATGGGTTACGTAGGGAGGTGGTGGAATCTCCTTCCTTCGAGATTTTAAAGGTCAGGCTTGACAAAGCCCTGGCTGGGATGATTTAGTTGGGGATTAGGTCCTGCTTTGAGCAGGGGGTTGGACTAGATGACCTCCTGAGGTCCCTTCCAACCCTGATATTCTATGAAACTCAGGGAGTTATAAGGAAGAGAATTGAAACTACCCTCTGGTTTGCTTGTTTGATATACTGGCTTTCAGTTTGAGGAAAAAAGGACTGTCATGATAAGTAAAGCCTCTGAAGAGGACCCTTGCCAACTCCAGGACTGGAAAAACCAAAACTCCCCTGCTAGGGTTTTTTTTCATCACAGAGAACTCCAGGAGTGCAGCTTCATTGTTTGCTTCAGCTTATCATGGTGCGTTGAGAAGACTAATTTGAATGAGGTACATATGGTAACTACTCTCAACACAAATTCATTGTACACTGAGTCTGGGCCCCATGGAATCTGACAAGCAGCATCACAATTTAAAACCACTGATCACTTTTAGTACTGTAGTAATTTTAATCCTGCTGATTATTGCTCTCATCTTAAAATGTTGGCAGTAGACACATGGCAGATGTTCCACATAGCAATCAGTCCTAAAAAGTTATCTAGAGAACAGGAAGAACACGGTTTGGATAAATTGACATACCTCTCCCAACTGCGGGAAGACACTGAATGAAACTGGTAATAACGCACCCAATGCTGAAACAGTCATAAGCAGTCTCAGTGGAGTCAAAGCGTGTGGATTGCTGAGTAAAAAGTTTGTGCTGTCAAAAGAGTTGGGAAGATAAATTATTGTTCAAGGCAGACATGCTTAACTGTCAAACCAGAATCGCTAGTGAAACAAAGGACGTTAAATACTATTTTACAGGAGAAAATTAAAGCTATCGTGCTGTAGTAGGTGAAATAATTTTACATTCCGTGCTGGTGTTTTCTTTATTATATAACTTAGGTTCTTGCTATTCCCTTGCTCCCTACCATGTGCGTGGTCTTCTTTACTCTTATTTTGGGCCCAGATCCTACATTATTGTCCACATATGGATGACAATACAGGATTGGGACATAAGCAACAACACGTAAACGGAAAACAGAAGGTACCAATATGCGTTTGAAATGCCTCAGTCCTTTAATTCAGATTTTTTTTCTTGGATCATTTTGTCTGTTGCTGTTCTATTTAGCCAGTTCTTGGAAGCATGATACTTTCACATTGTACACAGTTATTAAACAGCAGGATGTTTTTATTAATTATGTTACATTAACGCCTAGGAACCCTACCCAAGGATTCTTCTGGTATAACTTCTCAGTTCACTTAAATTCCTTCCTCGCATGGTCTATACTGCAAGCCTACATTGTAGCAATACAAGTAAAACTCAAGCAGAAAAATAGAAGCAAGCAATGAAGTCAGAATAGTCAATAAGGATTCTAATGCCCTCTCCGCTGTGACTGAAAGCGCCTCGGTATTCACACCCTATTGTAATAATCTTTGTACAAAATGTTTCTTGTATCATTTGAAAACTAACAAGTTACTGGTCATTAATATCATGGTGAAACATAAACAGCAACATTATATGTGAAGTTATGAAATCCCCCTGTATAATGTTTTTAGAACATGGTCAAAACCACACAGCTCTGCCCAGGCAAAAGTATTTTGGACAAAGAAATGTGTGTTTACCTGAATTTACATATTAGTAAACAGGGTCCTTGAGACAGCAGAGAGAGGAGATGGTAGCAGACAAACCAAATTTGCATTTCGGCAAACACAGGTGAGAAGAAAGAGCATGGAGCCTCCTTCACCACCAGACTCCATGTTGCCTTCTTTACTTTTTGAAAAAATTTTGCTTTGAGGGGCAACCCTCAGAAGAATCCACTTCAAAGGTTAACTGGACTATAAAAGAAAGAGGCAGAAATCCCCAAGGGATCTCTCCTCTTCACCTAAGAAGACAAAGGAACCATTCCTTGGACTTTCTTTTATTTTTTTTTTGCAGCGGGGAGAAGAAAAGAGATCCTGACCTGATAATTTGGTCGGCCATATTGCTGGGAACATGTGATAATCTAAACCAATCTAGTGTTGTGTTTAAACTGAACTGTTTGGTGACTCCAGTTAAAGCAGCAAACTGTTGAATATTGGCCCTTTACAGAGGCAATGGACCTTTAATATCTGAACTGTACAGGAGAGGGCTGGACAGTGCAGAACACATGTTTTGGGGGAAATCGGGAACTGGGAGTTTGTTGGGGTCACGCAGCAAATAGTAACCAAGGCTGGTGGAAGCCAGACTGTGAGTGGTGTGTTGCTGACAGGCTTCTGGGGTCAGAACTGTTAGACCAGCGCTACAGCTGTACACAGACTCAGGGTGTGACCTATAGCCTGGTTGTGAGCGTCCCAGGTTGGGAGCTGCAGCAGCAAAGCATTGTGAGGCGCCCAAGGTTGCAGGGCAGGTGGTGACACAGCCCCTCAGTGGTCTGGACTGCACCCCAGAACTTGACAGCCACACACCCCAGTAGTAGAACCTCTTACCGTTGCAAGAAGTATAGAAGAGACTCTGGAATAATTACTGCTGTCCCAAAAAAGGCTGCTCTTGATAAAGCTGTTTCTTGTACTGCCTAAGAAAAATGTGATTCAAGTTAGAGCTACCTGACGCTCCCACGCTGCACTCATGCAGCTTTGCTTTTAGTCTTGGTAACTTATTATTTGTATTACCATACCTAGTCATGGACCAGGACCCCGTTTCCTTAGGTGCTATACCACGCTAGGATTTCGTGCAGTTAAGTGAAGGGTCGACATTTTTGGTAGGGTTTCTCTCTAAAAGGGAAACTAAACTCTTTCAAGTGGCGACTATACCAGTTGTGGATTCTGTGTTATCTCAAAAAGGGAAGGTTCCCACTGATGCATTATCTGACATGGAAGTTATTTTAAACTAGTTCAGCCTTGCAAAAGTAGCCTTTTAAAGGTACTGAGCTGCACCTGCTCTCATAGATTCAAAGTGACCCATCTCCCCCGGCATCCCCAACCCACATGCAGCCTTCTCTCTTCTGTCATAGTGGTCTGCACCACGAGGGTTAGAAGGAAGGGAAAAGTGCCTGGTCTTGTGCCACTGAGGCTGTCCATTGCACTGGATTTCTTGGGATCAAGGGGGTGTCTATCCCCTGTCAACCTGCACAAAGCCAGCCTGGCTTAAAGGCATTTGTCCAAGGCCACAGAGCAAATCGGTGGATAAGCTTGGAATAAAACACAGAAGTTCCTGGCTCCAATATACTTAATTCGCTCTATTCTCAATACTAAGGCCAGCTTTTTGTTGGGAGTGAAAACAAGCCAGCATGAACCTATCTTGGGTTGCCTACCTTCAACCCAGCTTTTTGTGACACTCCAACGACCTTGCCATTCTTGTCCATAACTTCGATTCCATTCTCACACTCAGTTCCTCGGACAATCATCACATTAAACGCACTCAGGCAGGCTGTAAAAGTAAAAAGGTTTTGTGTTTGTTTGTTTGTTTTTTAAAGTTGTTTTGCCCCAATTGGATTTTACCAATTCAATATTAGGACATTTATAATTAATGCACATTTTAAAATTCCAGTGATATTCTGGGATGAACTCCGCAAGTCGTACTTGATAGGAATTGAGCTGAGGTATCCCAAGTCTCAGTCCACTGCCCTCTGCACTAAGCTGCACACTGCTCAGTGATATGATTAACAGAACTCAATTATGTACTTTGCTCCCCAACCGCACACCTCAAATAATGTGCCTCAGTGCTTTAATTCAGAGCAATCCCATTCACCTGGTACACAACAAGAATATTTCATTTCCCTTCTGGACTTAGCAGTCCATTGTCTTAAAATATCCAGTGTAGTGTCAGCCACTGAAAAAAGTTTTGTGATCCTAGGCTAATGACACAAGGGGATACAGAATATGAGGAGTTGAGAGTCCAATGGGTTTCCTGCCTCAGCTGTCATAATAAAACTCTTACCAAAAATAAGCTCTCAACTCTGAAGGTGACCGAAGAACTGTGAAGAGCAGCATGGGCCAAACATACCAAGGGAGTGCTGGGGAGCTAGCCCTTTTTGAAATGTTAGGTTTATCTTTTCATTAACTTTTTGAAGAGCTGTTCCATAAAGTTGTCAGCACAATTTGTTTCAAACACTAAGACCAATAGTCACCAATTGCCTTCAACATTCCTATCATTAAGTACGTTTTCAGATGAGGAGACACAGGTCTAAGTGACCAGTCCAAGGGGAGGAGAGTCAGTGTCAGAACTTGAAACAGAACTCGGGAGATCTGGACTCTCAGTATTTTCATTTCTGTTCCATCAAAAGTGGGCTTCTAAGCAGATCCAAAGAACATGTCGGGAAGCCACAGGCCCTGTTGTCATCCTGTCTGTTATATGGAATGCATTTATTGTACCTTATAAATTTCAGTTAAAAAAGGTTGCCACTTCCTTTTAATGGCAGTGGGAAATAATATGCCAGTAATGAACGCAACTTTCAGCCATTAAATTACAGGCCAGGTTCATCCCAGGTGAAACTTCACTGACCTCAATGGAGTTACGCCAGTGACAAATTTAGCTTGACAGCCTTACAAAGTTGACAAGAACCTGCTGTAATAAGTCTCACTCTTTCCACAACAGTGGCTGCAGAGATAATGTCTTCACTGACAAAGAGGTCGCACACCGGAGAAAAACTGTGGCACATAACATGCACAGGAATTTATTTCCTCAAGAGAAATGGTTGCATGTCCTGTATATGGAAGTAAGGAGAATGCCCTAGGATTTTATGACAGTTCATAGCACTGACCTTTAAACAGAGAATGCAAAATAGCTAGATATAAACTTTCATTAACTTTCATGCAGAAAATAAAGTACCCAGTGAAGGCAGCAGGTGAAGATGAAGGGCTATATCCTGGTTTGGTTCTATATAAAGATATAGAAGTTCTAAAGGTAGATTGACGGCAGCACATGGGCTGTAACAGATACAAGAACAAATCCACAGCTATTTGTTTTCAATTTACTTTTACTCACCAAGAAGTGGAATGGGTAAAATTTTTCTGAAGAACGTTTGCATAGAAGGATTATTCACTCTATTTTGTGTCATGACAAAGTGAGGAAATGCCTAAGAAATTTGGAAGAAACACATATTCTGTTAATAATTAAACCAATAATGAAATTTGGGCCACAGATTGGAAAAAGAAAACAACCTGTGGCTTTGTATTTTAAATGCTTTTGATAAAACTAGGCTGTTAAAAAAAGAATCTGGTTTACCAATTTGAAGGAGAACAAATTTTCTCTAATAACTGGGTTTTTTTGTGATTACACGTTTTACAGAAAAAAGGGGAAATGAAACCTTTATCAAAGAAAAATGGTAATTAATAATTATATTCTGGACAGTAGTCTCTACTACTCAGTATCAGCACATGGGCTATAAAAATGTCAACTGTGAAATTAACAGATACTAAAAAGAGCTTATGAATGGGAATAAAAATATATGAACAATCTGTCTAGATATTTATGAAGCACCCAGACACTATGTTATCTAGGTGTGGAAAATGAACTAAAAACCATTTAAGTTTTCTTAGCAATACATATCACCACACTCACGAAGTTTTGCCAATTATAGTGTAATTCAATAAATCTTAGATATACTTATTGTGTGCTTGAATTTAGTGGTGATTGAACAGCCCAGGAGTCTGAAATCCTCATAAATCAAAACCTCTGAATCTGATAACAGACTGAGGCCAAAACTCCCAAACTGAATATTCCCAAAGTTCATAGCGTCAAATCCAAAACTTTACCATGGCTTCGGGCATTTCAATTCAGTCAGTTATAAAGGTAGGTATAAGCTAAAAACTTGGATCTAGAACCTAACTAATAATATTTCATGATGACCTGCTAAATTAGTTTATGTTTTGTAGAACCAGTGTTCATTCTGTGGTTTCTTCTCTATTTTTCTAGACTAACAGAGATAGAGAATGATAAAAACAAAATTTAATACTGGCAGGAAAAAAGCTACTAAATTCTAACCTCAGAGGAAGATGAGTAAATAGCAAAGGTAAAGGCTTGCATTCCTGATCAAGAGCAACAGAGGTTGCAATCTTCTATACCCAACAGGACTGAGAGGAAATTAGCTAGCGTGACTTTGGGCTCTGGAAGAACTGACTTGGAGGGTACTAGGCCTTGTGACAATCCCATTATCAGTCCCCCACGCCAGAGTATCAGAAAGTAATTATTGAGATCATGCAAATACGTACTCCTATACATGCTGCATAAGAGATGGCACCTGTGCTCAGAAGGAGTTGCTTTTCTGGCAGCTTTTGTGGCAATGCTGTTTCCTAAAAGTCAGAACACACACACTATGTAAATTCAATTTCATCAGCTCATGTTCAAAGTGGTATCATGCAACTAAAAAATAATAATAATCTAAAAAACCCACATACTTCAGTTTTAGGTGTAGCATTTCCATTTGCTATGGTGAATCCAGCAGCGTATGCATGAAACAGGAACTGCAGAAAAGGAGAATGTAAACAACAGTATATTTTTGGATCTTGGGTAACAGACTTATAACTGTAGAATGAAAATGGTTACCTGCCAAATAAATGCTTGCTTTGCTCCTCTTTGTGGTAGTAAACTAGCAAAAACCTAAGAGAAAAGCACCAAGGGAAAGTTAGTCTCAGTGAATCCAGGGCCCTATGGACAGAAGTGGCTGATTTAAGTATGAAGGAGACTAATCTATTATTTATTATTATTTACAATAGCACCAAAGGCCTCAGGCAAGACAGGGGCTTATTAGGGGAGCTGTTGTGCAAAGACACCAGTAGTTTCTTGCTGTGGACACCTCATTCGCCCTTAGTGGCCCAACAAGCCATATATCCCTTCCATATATCCAAGCATATTTACTTTCCCATTTAATAGAAAAGTAAAATAGTCATTCAAACAGTGGGTACGAGACTAGCTAGGTGACACATTCTCACACCAGGAATAACAGACACCTTCACAGCTGTGGGATACAAAGAGAAACAAATGAAGTCAGATCATAAAATATTAGATACAAGGAAGAACAAGAGTCAGATACTCAGTCTTCGTTGGAGGGTACAGATGCTAAGCCTAATTTGATCCCAGGCCTGATCCTTAAGGATTTATTTTCCAGCTGCTACATTTTGAGATTTATGGACCAAATTCAGTTATGGCATAAGTTGTGCAACTGTAACCCACAGGGGTCAATGTGCATTACTTGTCCCTGATCCACAGGCTACGGGTCTGTCACAGCTCTCAGCTACAGAGCTGGACTCTTTGGCTCAAGCTCTCAGGAGTCATGCTTTTAGTTCTGGAGATCCCTAGTTCAATCCATGATGTTGACCAAGATGTAGCAGTTATCAAATGAGTGGAGTTCAAATCCACGGAGAGGGATGTGCAACACACACTTCATTTAATACACAACTCTTGTCAATGAGGAGTGGTACTAGTTTATGCCAAGGTTTAATCTAGCCCTATCTATTAAAGCTCCCCAAATTGTGACATATATACCAAGTACATAAACTTTGGGGGCATTATTAGAAGAATTATTTTCCGCCCATGTGTATTTTCACTGGCACCCTGCAATTTATTTGCAAGTAGATAATATTCTGGTTCCAAACAGCAGAGTGTGAGGCTTTTCTGTGTTTCTCTCTAAATTCAATTCTGGGTAAACATAGGAAAGTCAGGCCTTGTTCTAACTGGCTCATGAATTTCCACAGAAGACATGTGAATGATTGACTTTCATGTGTGAACAATGTTCTTGAATGTTTGGAAAGCAAAGTGACCAGTGGTTTGGGGTGTCTTGATTTTTGGGTATCCAACTCAACATCTCGCACCCAGAAATTGAGACACCTAAAATGACTCATCACTTCTGAAAATTTAGATAATTATAAATACACACACAGATCCACTGCAATCTTCCATTATTACTCACCAATGGGGTGACTAAGGGCAGGAAAGCTAAAAGAAGAAACAAAATTTTTTAGTAAATCAACTTGTGGGGCTGGGTAGTTGGCTTGGGGATGAGGGGAGAGGAAACAAATATGACTAGTCCAAAAGAAAACACTGGGGTTTGACTTTTGTCTCTCATTCTCTAACCAGAAGGTAGAAGCATCTCCAAGATACTGCTCTCACAAAATGCAACAGCCCGCAGCAACAGTGCTAATGGGAAGCTACATAACTCTATAGAAAGAAAAGGAGTACTTGTGGCACCTTAGAGACTAACAAATGTATTTGAGTGTAAGCTTTTGTGAGCTACAGCTCACTTCATCGGATGCATTCAGTGGAAAATACAGTAGGGAGATTTACATACACAGCGAACATGAAACAATGGGTGTTACCATACACACTGTAACAAGAGTGATTAGGTAAGGTGAGCTATTACCAGCAGGAGAGCTGGGGGGAAAAACCTTTTGTAGTGATAATCAAGGTGGGCCATTTCCAGCAGTTGACAAGAAAGTCTGAGGGGCGGGGGGGAAACATGGGGAAATAGTTTTACTTTGTGTAATGACCCATCCACTCCCAGTCTCTATTCAAGCCTAAGTTAATTGTATCCAGTTTGCAAATTAATTCCAATTCAGCAGTCTCTTAGGTTCCCCTCCCCCGCCCCCGCTCTCCTGCTGGTAATAGCTCACCTTCCCTGATCACTCTCGTTACAGTGTGTATGGTAACACCCATTGTTTTATGTTCTCTGTGTATATAAATCTCCCCACTGTATTTTCCACTGAATGCATCCGATGAAGTGAGCTGTAGCTCACGAAAGCTTATGCTCAAATAAATTTGTTAGTCTCTAAGGTGCCTCAAGTCCTCCTTTTCTTTTTGCGGATACAGACTAACACGGCTGCTACTCTGATAACTCTATAGGGAATTCATTTCACCCCTCCCAAAAGACAACTGTGGTACAAGATTTGCATAAGAAAAGTGAGAGGTTACATTAGGTAATGAATAAATAGCCTTTGTGAAAGTATATCTGTGTCTCATCCAAACTCCGTGCAATCCTGGCTTAATATTTCATGACCCCAACCAGATTCTACCCACAGGACGGACTCCAGCCAGCCTGGAGCAAAGCCGGTTGTGTCAGACCATAGCTGTGTGGATTAAGGGAAAACACAGTGCACCACAATATACATTAAGAGATTTGGGTACCGTTCATATGGTGCCAAAAACTAGTGACTGGTCAGTATATTTCCCCCTAGGGAGTCAGTGTGCAGACACTGCTCAGAGCAGATGAACTATGTGAAAGGTGTATACAAATCAATTTTCTTTAAAGGACAACAGGAATAGTCTTCAACTGAGATAAATATAACCAACATGAATAACAGTGGCCTCATTTTTCTGTAACTAGAAGGGCCCCCAAGCGTTTGTCATTGGAAACCTGTCAAAAATGTGCAGTAAGCTTCTATTACAGCAACTGACCTGGTGGTCTAAACACAAGGGGAATTATCTCGCCAGTACCAGGGTGCACAGAGGACTTAAAGAAAAAGAAAAGAAAGTTAGGACATCTCTCTCAGCCTAAATGAAAAATATGAGAAGTAAATTCCAACATCTTTTATAAACTCACCAGACTCAGCTTCCAGGCTTGTTTTACCTAGCATGATTTGAAAATGAGATTAGCAATGGCACTTCATAAGAGGTTTAATGGCTAAAATCTTATTTCTAACTTTGTTTATTCTATATAATCTTTCTGTAACGATAACTGACATTTATACATAGCATGTCATACACACACCCGTTTGATTATATTCTCCCTAAAATTCCCCCAGGGATTCTACTGAATACAATATTTTATTTTTTTTTCTGTCCTGACATGTTGTGTATTGTTGTCTAGCAGTATTAGAACATACAAAACCATCAGGTTGGAAAGTGAGTAAAAATACAGCCGAAATAGCAATGGAATTTCAGGATAGAATACCACCAGCTCTTAATTTGGCTTAAAGTATAAACACACCAGCCCTTCCAAAAAAGGGCCAGGAAAATCTTAATAATGACAAGGGGTCATGCCTTAATTTTACATCTCATCCCAAAGGCAGCACCTCTAGTGACATAGCGCTATCTAACACCAGGCTGGGACATGTGATTCAGTGATGAACCAAAGAATTCCACCTGATGAATCCCCAGTTCAGTACTACTTCCTGCAGAAAGATTCTCTGCAGAGGTTTTCCATCCAAGTATTGACCAAGCCTGCCACTGCTTCGTTTATGAGAACTGATGGACAGACCAAGCTGGAATAGTTACAGTTCATCTGCAGCCCATGTGACAATGAAGCATCGATGATTTAAAATAAGTGTAATAAAGATTTTGCATAGTACACATCAGACAAGAATGTACAGACTCTACGGCTGAGCTGTGGGAGAAAGCAGAAGTATTAGGTTATCAAGAGGATTGATTCCTATGATTCTCTGGCACTTTTTAAGAGAACAATATTATGCACAAATGTATGATACTTTCTTGGATGATGGAACTGGAGTCCAAAATTCAGGTCAGCAGCTACCCTAGGAATTCTTCTACCAGCTTATAAGAGACAGAAAATCTGGGTGGTAACGCAGACTTGTTGAAGCTTTTTTTAATTTTTTTTGGGCCCCGTATGTATCTCAGGCTCTCTCAGTACCTGCCTTTTCTAATACAGTCATGACAGCTGTTTCATTCATGAAGTATGTAGCCTCTATTTTCCATAAGCAATACTATAAAGTACTCAAATAGACACACACTCAGGTATAACTCTTAAATATATCATTTGGGTCCAGCAAATAGTCTGTCCAAATTAATTACAGTAGAACCTCAGAGTTATGAACACCTTGGGAACGGAGATTGTTCATAACTCTGAAGCGTTTGTGACTGTGAACAAAACGTTATGGTTGTTCTTTCAAAAGTTTACAACTGAACCTTGACTTAATACAGCTTTGAAACTTTACTATGCAGAAGGAAAATGGTGCATTTAACTATCTTAATTTAAATGAAAAAAGCACAGAAACAGTTTCTTTACGTTGTCAAATCTTTTTTTTTTTTAACTCATTTTTTTAGTAGTTTACATTTAACACTGTACTGTACTGTATTTGCTGCTTTTTTTTTTTGGCGTGGGGGAGTGGGGGGGAAGGGCGGTGTCTCTGCGGCTGCCTGATTGTGTACTTCTGGTTCCAGATGAGGTGTGTGGTTGCCCAGTCAGTTCGTAACTCTAAGATTCTACTGTAAGAGCAACTAGTTGCTGAAATCTGTGTGGTTGGGTATAGGTCATACAGTCATGCGTGTAAAAATGCCAACAGATGCTGAGAACTTAAAAACTGGGTGCAACAGATTGCAATTCCTGGCGATGATTGAACCTGGTGATGTTCTGAACAAAAAGAGCTCTCAGCCATGCTTGTAGCTGTTTCCATCGCTTCACACCAACTCCGGCATTTTAGGCTTCAGAGTGACACACAAAGTGACATTCCTAAAATCTTATTATATATAAACTGCTCCTAAGAAGTCATTTTAGAAGTCCAGCAAGAAGGACCCTCGCTCATCACTCAGACAAAACCCCCAAGCTCCAAGAGCTAAATAAGGCTGCTAAAAGAAAAGTCAAATACTTCAAATGGGATATATACAAACATATACAGTTTATTAGAGGATATGTGTTAGATACCTTTTTGTCCCGTAAAGGCTCTTGAAGAGTCTGAGCACCGGTTTGTAAAAGTAATCTGGATTTTTCTATTTCTGCCTAAAAAAACAAAACCAGAAATAAAGATCAGTCATTCTTTTCCAATACCTTCCTCCCATCCCCACTCCTCCATCCAAAACTTCTGTTGTAACAGCCCTTCTGTGCTGGCCTGGTGCTTGTAAATACAAAATTAGACCATCATGCTCATATGCTTTTACACATACATGCTGATCTGAACTACACCAGTTCAGTGGCCTCAAGATTATGCGCACACACATTATTTATGTCAACCCCACTGTCTATAGCATTATCAGGTCCAGTGCGTTATTTTAGGTGGCAAACCTGCAAACACTTGTGCGTGTGCCGAACTTTAAGCATGTGAACAGTCCCACTGAAGTCAATGGAACTACTTGGTTAAAATTATGCACGTGCATGTTTGCTGGCTTGAGCAACTTGCACACCAGAGATATTGTTTTGTTTTCCTCACAAGCAGCTGAATGTCTAATTTTAAATGAAAACACAACATAGGTCAGCCAGCCAAGTAAATACGAGTCACTACATCATCAGATCCTCCAGCATCTTAACTTTAATAAGTTTAAAATTAAGTTTTGGACCTTACAGCTTTCCATTACAACTGAACTTTTAACGTAAGAGCAACATAAGAACGACCTTACTAGGTCAGACCAATGGTCCAACTAGCCCAGTACCCTGTCTTCCAACAGTGGCCAATGTCAAGTGCTTCAGAGGGAATGAACAGAACAGGACAATCATCGCACGATCCATCCCGTCGTCCACTCCCAGCTTCAGAAGCTAAAGACACTCAGAGCACAATGTTGCATCCCTGACCATCCTGGCTAATAACCATCGATGGACCTATTCTCCATGAACTTAGTTCTTTTTTGAACCCTGTTATAGTTTTGGCCTTCACAACATCCCCTGGCAATGAATTCCACACGTTGACTGTGCGTTGTGTGAAGAAGTACTTCCTTTTGTTTGTTTTAAACCTGCTGCCTATTAATTTCATTTGGTGACCCCTAGTTCTTGTGTTATGTGAAGGAGTAAATAACAATTGCTTATTCACTTTCTCCATGCCAATCAAGATTTTATAGACCTCTATCATATCCCCTCTTAATCATCTCTTTTCCAAGCTGAAAAGTCTCAGTCCTTTTAATCTGTCCTCATACGGAAGCTATTCCATTCCCCTAATCAATTTGGTTGTCCTTCACTGTACCTTTTCCAATTCTATTCTATCTTTTTTGAGATGGGGTGACCAGATTTGCATGCAATATTCAAGATGTGGGCGTACCATGGATTTATATAGAGGCGTTATGATATTTTCTGTCTTATTATCTATCCCTTTCCTAATGGTTCCGAACATTATTAGCTTTTTTGACTGCCACTGCACATTGAGCCAATGTTTTCAGAGAACTATCCACAACGACTCCAAGATCTATTTCTTGAGTGGTAACAGCTAATTTAGATCCCATTGTTTTGTATGCATAGTTGTGATTATGTTTTCTAACGTGCATTACTTTGCATTTACCAACATTTAATTTCATCTGCCATTTTGTTGCCCAGTCGTTCAGTTTTGTGAGATCCCTTTGTAGCTCTTTGCAGTCTGCTTGGGACTTAACTATCTTGAGTAGTTTTGTATCATCTGCAAATTTTGCCACCTCACTGTTTACCCCTTTTCCCAGATCATTTATGAATATGTTGAACAGCACTGGTCCCAGTACTGATCTCTGGGGGACACCACTATTTACCTCTCTCCATTCAGAAAACTGACCATTTTTGCTACCCTTTGTTTCCTATCTTTTAACCAGTTACTGATCCACGCAAGAACCTTTACTTCTTACCCCATGACTGCTTACTTTGCTAAAGAGCCTTTAGTGAGGGATCTTGTCAAAGGCTTTCTGAAAGTCTAAGTACACTATCCAATGAATCACCCTTGTCCACATGTTTGTTGATTTCCTCAAAGAATTCTAATAGATTGGTGAGGCATGATTTCCCTTTACAAAAGCCGTGTTGACTCTTTCCCAACAAATCGTATTCATCTATGTATCTGATAATTCTGTTCTTTACTATAGTTTCAAGCAATTTGCCTGGTCCTGAAGTTAGGCTTATTGGCCTGTGTTTGCCAGGATCACCTCTGGAGGCTTTTTTAAAAATTGGCATCACATTAGCTATCCTCCAGTCATCTGGTACAGAAGCTGATTTAAATGATAGGTTATATACCGCAGTTAATAGTTCTGCAATTTCATATTTGGAGTTCTTTCAGAATTCTTGGGTGAATACCATTTGGTTCTGCAGACTTATTATTGTTTAATTTATCCATTTGTTCCAAAACCTCCTCTAATGGACACCTGAATCTGGGACAGTTCCTCAGATTTGTCACCTAAAAAGAATGGCTCAGGTTTGGGAACTTTCCTTTCACCCTCTGCAGTGAAGACTGATGCAAAGAATTAACTTAGTTTCTCTGCATTGGCCTTATCTTCCTCCAATGCTCTTTTAGCACCTTGATCATCCGCTGGCCCCACTGATTGTTTAGCAGGCTTCCTCTTTCTGATGTACTAAAATTTTTTGCTGTTAGTTTTTGAGTATTTGGCTAGTTGCTCTTCAAATTATTTTTTGGACTTTCTAATTATACTTTTACACTTGACTTGCCAGAGTTTATGCTCCCTTCTATTTTCCTCGGTAGGGTTTAACTTCGAATTTTGAAAGGATGCCTTTTTGCCTCTAACCACTTTATAAAAAATACACATATACTTACAAGGAAAAGGGACTGTATACATATTGGACTCTAATTTTGGAGGCTCGACATTCCAAGGATCTTCTAGGAGGGAACTACTAGGTGACCTTACTTTTCATCATGAACACATCTCCCTTTGCATCATGAACATATCATCTCCCTTTGCAACACTCTGCCTTACTTCATACTTCAGCTGTAACCCTGTAGGTCTTGAGAAAAATTTATATATAAACAATTTTTGGTCACAGTCAAGATAATTCACAGATTTTTTTTAATCTGGTTTGCACTTAAAAATATGAATTAAAGATTTCAAAAACATATACAGAAAGAAAAGGAGTACTTGTGGCACCTTAGAGACTAACAAATTTATTTGAGCATAAGCTTTCGTGAGCTACAGCTCACTTCATCGATGCATTCAGTGGAAAATACAGTGCGGAGATTTATATACATAAAGAACATGAAACAACAAAAAAACTTCAAAAACAGACTCCAACGAGAGACTGCTGAATTGGAATTAATTTGCAAACTGGATACAATTAACTTAGGCTTGAATAGAGACTGGGAGTGGATGGGTCATTACACAAAGTAAAACTATTTCCCCATGTTTATCCCCCACCCCCACCGTTCCTCAGACGTTCTTGTCAACTGCTGGAAATGGCCCACCTTGATTATCACTACAAAAGGTTGCCCCCCACCCCCACCCTCCTGCTAGTAATAGCTCACCTTACCTGATCACTCTCGTTACAGTGTGTACGGTAACACCCATTGTTTCATGTTCTCCACGTATATAAATCTCCCCACTGTATTTTCCACTGAATGCATCCGATGAAGTGAGCTGTAGCTCACGAAAGCTTATGCTCAAATAAATTGGTTAGTCTCTAAGGTGCCACAAGTCCTCCTTTTCTTTTTGCGAATACAGACTAACACGGCTGCTACTCTGAAACCTGTCATATACAGAAAGGGTTGCAATATTTTCTTTCCATCACTTTGGACAAAAATGACTAGATAGTAGCAGATGTGCCAGCTGTATGTATTGTTTCTATATATGATAAGCTTCTAATGAAGCAGAATCAATAGACCAGAGGGGGAAAAATTCTGCCACAAAAGTTTGTGACAGTTTCTATATAATTAATGAAATACCTTTATACCTGAATATTTACACCTTAAAATCTGATAATCGAGTCTAACATCAAAAAAGAATCTTATTTACCGAGGTGAAACATATTATGTATAAATCACAAGAAGTTCTAGATCAAAGACATTTCCAACCAGCCACACCTTCAGAATATTTACCCCCATAAGTAGCCACACTCATTTCACTGGGGCTTACCTCATTAATAAAACACTTACATACATGAATAATCCTTATCGAACCTGGTTTTCAGTGGTGAAAGGCCATGAGGGGAAAGCAGTGGACGTGTTGTTCCTTGACTTTAGCAAAGCTTTTGACACGGTCTCCCACAGTATTCTTGCCAGCAAGTTAAAGAAGTATGAGCTTGATGAATGGACTATAAGGTGGATAGAAAGTTGGCTAGATTGTCGGGCTCAACAGGTAGTGATCAATGGCTCCATGTCTAGTTGACAGCGGTATCAAGCGGAGTGCCCCAAGGGTCGGTCCTCGGGCCGGTTTTGATCAATATCTTCATCAATGATCTGGAGGATGGTGTGGATTGCACCCTCAGAAAGTTTGCAGATGACACTAAATTGGGAGGAGTGACAGATACGCTGGAGGGTAGGGATAGGATACAGAGGGACCTAGACAAATTAGAGGATTGGGCTAAAAGAAATCTGATGAGGTTCAACAAGGACAAGTGCAGAGTCCTGCACTTAGGACGGAAGAATCCCATGCACTGCTACAGACTAGGGACCGAATGGCTAGGCAGCAGTTCTGCGGAAAAGGACCTAGGGGTGACAGTGGACGAGAAGCTGGATATGAGTCAACAGCGTGCCCCTGTTGCCAAGAAGGCCAATGGCATTTTGGGATGTATAAGTAGGGGCATTGCCAGCAGATGGAGGGACGTGATCGTTTCCCTCTATTCGACATTGGTGAGGCCTCATCTGGAGCACTGTGTCCAGTTTTGGGCCCCACACTACAAGAAAGATGTGGAAAAATTGGAAAACGTCCAGCAGAGAGCAACAAAAATGATTAGGGGACTGGAACACATGACTTATGAGGAGAGGCTGAGGGAACTGGGATTGTTTAGTCTGCGGAAGAGAAGAACGAGGGGGGGTTGATAGCTGCTTTTAACTACCTGAAAGGGGGTTCCAAAGAGGATGGATCTAGACTGTTCTCAGTGGTAGAAGATGACAGGACAAGGAGTAATGGTCTCAAGTTGCAGTGGGGGAGGTTTAGGTTGGATATCAGGAAAAACTTTTTCACTAGGAGAGTGGTAAAACACTGGAATGTGTTACCTAGGGAGGTGGCGGAATCTCCTTCCTTTGAAGTTTTTAAGGTCAGACTTGACAAAGTCCTGGCTGGGATGATTTAGTTGGGGATCGGCCCTGCTTTGAGCAGGGGGTTGGAATAGATGACCTCCTGAGGTCCCTTCCAACACTGATATTCTATGATTCTATGAACTTCAATGGAAGTATGGCAATTTACACCAGCTGAGAATCTACCCTCAGCGTGGATCTACCCCCCTGCCCTTTTATGTGGCATAAAGGGGCCCTAAAAACCAGCTGGGTAAGAATTCCCCCATTGCAGACATTGTGTAGGACAGCCATAGGGGGGTCCTCTGAGGACCTCTTCACAAGCCTGTCTGTGGCAGGGCTGCAGCAGGCAGCACTTCAGAGATTCCAGACAGTGGAACAGCTCAAAGGGCAGCCGGGGGAGATTGCCCTAATATAGACAGGCCCGTAGTGGAAACAAACTGCAGAGATGCACAGAAGTTTACACTGCACCGTTTTGTACTGTACCTGGCATGGGGCAGGGCTATTATTCCTTCACTTTTGTGGCCCCTAAATTCAATCATAAATTTCACTGAAACGTGAACTGCCACATTATACTGCCAAAGTCTAAGCAGATTCTAACAGATAATACTAAAGGTAGAATTTGTAGGAAGGTGCAACACAATGTATTTTTAATTGGACGTTTTCAGGTTATATGGCTGCCATGCAAGACCCTGAACGTCAGTGCAGCTGCAACACTGAGGAAGTATGCTGGACAGCAAGGAAAATCCTAGTTTCCTACAATAACTGTTATGGGATATTTAATATCTAACGTGGACACCCCAACTGTAAGGGCTTATCACAGTAAACCTTATGAAATGCATTTTATCAATGTAAGGAAGGGATGAGTCAACACAGTTGGGATTTGCTCCTGCGGATCCTTTGAGTCTTGGGCAGAACAGCCTGTGCTTACATGTCTCACTTCACATCACCCACACATTCAAGTCATGTGCAAAGGTACAACTGTTAAACTGTAATTTTGTAAAAAGAGGTAAAGTACTTACATTAGATTTCAGTAAGGTTGTAGGGTCTAAAATATCTGTCCAGTGAAGAAATCTTTGGAAAAAAGACTAATAAAAATATACATTAAGGAAACTGTACAAATATTTTGCAGTTCAGCTTAATTAACTCTTTTTTGTAGCTGTCAGAAAGAAACCAAGAATCTCTACTTCTTTGTTTTTTCAACTCCTTTTTATTTCCATGAGCAATAGCAACCCCCTATTTTTTGTTATAATCTGGTAGCCAGAATGACAGTCACAAGCTAAGAGCCACCTTTCGTCTTCGCTATGATTAGAAAAACTTTTATCTGCGAGAAAACTAGGGTTGCCTTTGAGCTCGTAAAACTTGCAACAAAGCAAATCTGCTTGCTAAGACCCTGGGGAGGAATGCACTTGGCAATGGTTACGTTCCTTCCCACCTCATTTGGGGAGCAGTAGGTTTGGCATCTCTAGCAGTTCAACTGTGTGCTTTGGAGTGACATCACGGGTTAGGGGCGCTGTCTAAACCAAAAAAGGAGACAAAAGCCACCAAGGCACCTCATAAAATGAAGCTAGGGTGACCAGACAGCAAGTGTGAAAAACCGGGACACTTTTTAATGGGGTACCAGAGTTACATACACAAGACAAAGCCCCTCATATGGGGAGGGCTGGTCACCCTAAAGCACACAGCTGTAAAACTGGCTGGTTGCACAGGCAGATCCGGGCAGGATGTGCACCCAGCCTTCCCCCGCATGTCGGGGCGGCCTCTTCCCCGGTCCTAGGGCGAATGCCTGGGACCTTCAGCGGTGGAGGGAGGCGAGCGGGGTAATTGCAGGGGCAAGGAAGTCTCCTTCCCGCAGGGCCACAGTGCGCATGGCTGACCCCGCACTCCCCGCGGCAGGCTCTGGCGTGACCCGATGCGATCAATCTCCTGCTCCCGGCCGCCCTGCCAGAAATGCCTCTTCGCTGGGCTGCCCCCCTGCTTCTCCCCCCGCCCCGCCGCGCCCCGCGACCTGAGCCCCCGCTGCCCGGGCAGGGCTCTCCCGCTCCCTACTTTGCCCTCCGTGCTCCAGAATTGCAAGTTCACATCCATGAGGCTGAGCAGCCGCTGTGCCGCGCCGGAAAAGGTCCTGCCACGGGGAGGCTCCGGCTGCTGCACACTCCCGACAGCCGCTTTCCTTTCCCCGTTGCTGGCGAGCGCAGGCCGCTTAGATCTGGTCCTGCTGCGGGGCGTTGGCTGCAGCTCGGGCTCCTGAGCTGCCTTTCCCCGCACTAGCTGGATGCGCCTAGACCCCTGGACAGAAATGGCCAGCGCCGCTGAAACGAGGGACAGCCGCCTCGGCTAGTAGCTGCACGGCCCGAGACAGCCCCTTCCTCTAAGCCCAGCCCCTAGCTTAATTCCTCCGTGCGCTACACCTGCCCAGGGATACCCCCCAATTTACACAGACAGGGTGGGATTTTCTAAAGGAGCAGGGGGAGGTGGGCACCTCATCCCTTCTGAATTACAACGGAATTTGGATGCTTAATTCTCCTACACCCATTTGGAAAAAACAAACCAACCAACCAACCCTGATTCTTGCACTATTTAAGAAAAAAATCATTGCCCCTTTTACAGGAGGCAAAAATAATAGAACACTCCCAAACCATAACCAACTGCCCTCCCCAATGCTTAGGAAATGGCCCTTGTACTGACCCCTGGGTATCCCAATTCTTGATTAGGGAACATAGTGTTGGCTATATCTTATTTATGATTTGTACATCCTACCTTCCAGGGTTTATTTTTAAATTGACAAAGTTGAAAAACTTACAGCAAAACAAGAACACCAGATTCAAGTCTGCTTGGTTTTATTTATGCTGAACTCATTTGCATTGTTCATGTCTCCTGCCTTTTAGTTCAACTAGTGAGTTAAGATTTAAATTTTAGATTAAACTAATACATTATAAGGGTCCTTTTGTGCTGTGAACTTCCCTGTTATGTGAGGGGCTGCCAGCACTCTTCATGCCAGCAATTTTAATCCTCTAGCTTCTGCTATGGATTAAAGGTTCACCACCTTGGCCCAGGAACTGCTGAAATTACTTTTCAGTTTCTTCACTATGTGGTGGTCTAATATTAATTGATTTTGGGGGACAGCAGAACATGGCAGGGAGAATAGTGGACTAATTTAAAGAAAATCCCTTCCATGCAGGACATTTGTTTATAACTCAAAAAAAAAAATTACGACTCCTGTCATGGTATCTGTTCAAAGAGCTCTTAAGACCACTAGAAACAAGTGCCCACTATCCTACAGCAGACAGTATTTCTGGAAAAAAAAATCTAAGGGCTTGTCTACACTACCTACTGGATCGGGTAGTATAGTATGGATGTGATAAATCGACCGCTGAGCGCTCTCTTGTCCACTCCAGTACTCCACCAGAAAGAGAAGCGCAAGCGGAGTAGACAGGAGAGCATCAGCTGTCGACTAATCGCAGTAAAGACACCGTGGTAAGTAGATCTAAGGATGTTGACTTCAGCTATGCTATTCCTGTAGCTGAAGTTGCGTATCTTAGATCGACCCCGTGTTGTAGTGTAGACAAGCCGAAGCAGTGATAGCCAAATTGATGGTCATAAAAAAGCAGGGGAGAGAACAGATATAGTATATGTAAAATTTATAGTATAATCAAGAACTTATTTAATAATCAAGGTTATTTAGTATTTGCATTACAGTAGTGCCCTAAAGACCCAACACTATCAGGGCCCATTGCAGTAGGTATTGTAGAAACACATAGTAAGAAAGTCCTTGCCACAAAGGGTTTACAGTTGAACTAGATAAGACATAATTACTTACAACTTACCTAGCAGTGAGACCCAGCTGTGACTCACCATATACCTGTTCAGTTCTAGCAACTGAAAATACACCCAAAGTAGAGATTTTTTCCTACCTAGAAAATTTTGATATTTAAACAAAGAGCACTGATTTGAAGTCAATGGGATTACACACAATGCATAGAGGAAGCATGTGCAAGTCTTCGCAGGACTAGGATCTTAAATTTTCACAAATATCTGGTTAATACTACAAGTATGAAAAACTAAACTAATATGAGGTTTGACGGGGTCAAAAAGATTCCTGGTAGGTATATAGAGCTAAGAGCTCAGTCATTGACTATCACTCTCTTTGGGTCAATGTGCCTAAATGAACACTCCACATGCTCTTGCATGATACAAGAGAAGCCTTTTTCATGGGTCACTCTAGCATTTTGACAAATTAGTCAATTAAAGTTTAGAGCAATATTCTCTTAGATTAGTTAGCAAAGAACTAACTAGTCCAGCTATCCACTGCTCCAACTTGGGCTCTTATAGGCTTCCACCTTCATTCTTCCACATTATTTCTTCTCTACCCCTGCTGGTGGATAGATTCATTTTGTTTATCCAGGATTTTAAGGAGTTTTCACTTATCCAGTCCTTCAGCAGCTATTCCTTTGCTCCCTTTGCCACACATATGGTCCAGTTTCTACTGCATTTATCTGTAGCCACTAGCAGCTTATAAGTGGTAGTAGGTGGGGCTGTGGGAGATAAAACTTAATTCAACAACACACCCAATCTCCGGTAAGCAGAGGAGCAAGAACATCCAACCTAGATGGTAGTTAGAACAACACTGTAGACAGTCTGCTTTAAGATTAATTTATTAATGATTTCATAGTTTAAGAAAAAAATATATGCTCAAAATCATTTCAGGAGGAAGCCATATTAGATCTTAAACAGACTTACTGAATCTTCCAACATAATTACACATCAAGCACTACAATATTTGGAAATCTGCATTTAGTGCAACAGACAATTTAAATGTATGACCAACTATTTAAAAAGGCAAAACAGAAATTATTAAGTGCCAGTAAATGTACCACGATTAGAGTTAAGTTCACATCTCCACCAGTTCCTAAATGGAACGCAGTTACTCTTCATTTAATGTTATATATTCCAATACATTTTAGCTGAACGATTGTAGACATTTGTTACTGCTACCTCCAAATCATGTTTGCATGTGGAAGCAGTTTGGAAAAAAAACAAACATAATTTGTACAAGGAATTCTTCCATCCCTGCCTAAAGAGCTACTGGCAAATTAAAGGGAACCACGTTCCAGATATTTCTCTGTATCATCCACTCTATAGCTCAGTATTTCCAGCTCTCAGAAACAAGAGTCTATCATCCAATTTTTATGTGTGCACAGAAAGCCTGGCACCATTTCTATGCCAGGACTGCTTAAAAGGAAGGAGGAAAGGTTAGTACTCCTGCCCCCCTTAAGTCACAGGCACATATACATGGGGGAGATAAAGAAGAGAATGGCTGAATACAGAGACATATGGGACGGCAGTACACACTCTCTGGGGAAAAAAACAGCTCCAAGAATATGATTTAAAACTTGCTGATTATGTAACTATTTAATGTTTCAGCATTTAACAATTTTTCTTAAACACCAAAAAAATAAATAAAAAAAATTGCATTTAAATGCAATCATGACTGCTTCCTTAGGAAATCCAGCATATGGTTTCTAAGTAACGATAATAAGGACTCTTTCATTGCCACCTAGCTGTATCTGATGATCTATTTATGCACTTTCTCAAAGTACTCTTTAGAAGCTTCTGGACTTGGCTTGATCTGTAAACAAAGAGAGACAGTTTTATACAAGTTGGTATATACACAAAGTGTATGAGAAAAAAATTATGGCTTTATATTTAAGATTCCATTTAAGAATACTGTTTATGCTTTAATAAACCACACAGTTATTTCTGAATGTCCACTCACTCATGAGAAGCAACGTACAAAGGTATTTTAACAGAAGTGCAGGCTTCTCAGCTGCAAAAAGAAAACTGAAAAATATTTAACTGCAAGACATTAAAAAATTTAAACTAGGACTATCAATCAGAGTTTTAATTGCACTGTTAAATTTAAATTGGTATTCTATAATTGTTTATTAGAAATATTTTTGATATTTTTCTACATTTTCAAATACATTGATTTCAATTACAACATACAGCATAAAGTGAACAGTGCTCACTTTGTTATTTTTGATTACAAATACTTGCACCGTAGAAAAGAAACTAGAGAAAGTAATAGTATTTTTCAATTCACCACATACAAGTACTGTAGTGCAATCTCTTTATCGTGAAAGTGCAACTTACAAATGTAGGTATTTTCCCCACATAACTGCACTCAAAAACAAAACAATGTAGGCTCTACAGTTTTACAAGTCCACTCAGTCCTACTTCTTGTTCAGCCAATCGCTAAGACAAACAAGTTTTTTTACATTTACAGTAGAGAATGCTGCCCGCTTCTTATTTACAAAGTCACTTGAAAGTGAGAACAGGCATTCATATTGGCACTGTTGTAGCTGGCATTGCAAGGTATTTACATGCCAGATATGCTAAACATTTGCATAGCCTTTCATGCTTCAACTTGTAGATTACACTTTTTTACAGTGCAAATATCTGTAATAAAAAAATATAAAGTGAGCACTGTATACTTTCTATTCGGTGTTGTAATTGAAATCAACATATTTGAAAATGTAGAAAAACATCCAAAATATTTATAATAAATTTAAATTAGTATTCTACTATTGTTTGACAGTTCGATTAAAACTCTGATTAATCGGAACTTTTTTTTTATCGTGCAACGAATTGCGATTTTTTAAAATCATTTGACAGCCCTAATTTAAATTTATACAAAACACAAGGCAAATCCAGGCAGACTGTCATGACAGTTAACAAGGGAAGCAAGCGAAGACTGCATGTACTCATACGTATTGCGTGGAAGGAGGGATTTTGTGCTCTCAGAAGAATACAAAATGTGAATGTTTTCTACACATGTAACTTCGAGTATTGCGTATGCACATTAACTGATTCAGACTGAGGGCACCAATTCATACAATCAAAACTTAAAAGACTTTTAAATTAACAAGTTCTTTCATACTATAGTGCCCAGTCTTCAGACTTTCCATGCAATAAGGTGGAACATTTTCCAGGATTGGGTCCATATTTTGGATGGTGATACTTAACCAACACATACCGTAGGGGACTCTGGAGTCCAGTTTGCTGGGCAAACCTCTCCATGAGTTTCCACATACTGGAATGCCTTCACCAAGCGAAGGGTCTCTTCCACACTGCGGCCAACAGGGAGATCATTGATACTCAGATGCTTGATGACTCCATTAGGATCAATGATGAAGAGACCTCTGTATATGAACAAAGATGTTTTGAACCTTTGCAATATGAATTCTGTATCTTGCTTCTTGTGCATGCTGAAATCTATTTCACAGAGTTATTCTAAATCACTTATACCATAGTGTATGGAATAGTGATATGTAACATTTGTACAGTACTTGCTAATTTGTACT